AAATTTAAATGTCTTTAAATATCTCAAAAACCAAAGATTTTATACATATTTAACACTTATAATAAATGCCTTTTTTTGGGCCCAAGAATCTAAAAATGAAATAAAATACGGGGTGTTCCGTAAGAAAAAATATAACTTTGGTATGGATCTTAGTTCTGAAATACTGTGTCTATTTCAAGATAATTTTAAATTGTGCACTTTTTGCCTCCCCACATATACCCATAAAATATTTTGTTTCTACATCTTTCCGTTTTCGTATAATCAACCCACGCGAATGAGGTGCGCCACCCTGTATATAAAAAGTTTTCTTAAGCTTCATTCGGAACTTAGAAAATTAGTGGATTCAATTAGCGTAGAAGTTTGTTCCTCTAATTTCAATGTAAGCATTCACAACGTCAAAATTAGTGGTAGTAATCTTCAATTAGTGGAAAAAGTTAACAAACTTTTCCACTAATTATACTTAAAAAATTGCGAGAAATGTCATTTTGGCATTTGATTATCATCCGTCAAGAGAAATTGGGGTTAGAAATCAAAAGTTTATTGTTTTATGAACTAAATATTAGGCTTTCTCTATGGATACAGCTGTTACTAGGATATTCTATTAATTTTAATTGTGTTTTTTAGACATTGTGAATGGTCGTAATCTAAAAAGTATAAAGGGTAATTGAATCAACTAATCTATTCTGCTAATTGCGAGGTTCTTAAGCTTAAAGCTTCATTCAGAACTTCGAAATTAGTGGAATAATAGTGGATTCAATTAGCGTAGAAGTTTGTTTCTCTAATTTGAATTTAAGCATTCAGAGCTTCAAAATTAGTGGTAGTAATTTTGGTAGTGAATGTTATATATAGTTAACAAACTTTCAACTTTTTCCACTAATTATACTTCAAAATTTCCGAGTAATGTCATTTTGACCTTGAATTTATTGTTTTATAAGCTGATTATTAGGCTATTATTAGGCTATTTCTATGGCAAGCTGTTGCTAGGATATTCCATTAATTTTAAATGTATTTTTTGACATTGTGAATGATCGTACATTTTTAAGTATAATGTGTAATTGAAATCACTAATTTATTACACTAATTTCTAGGCTCTCAATGAGGCTCCTAAAACCTTTTTTAACTAAAAATTTCTACTACTACGAATATTTTATTATACAGTTTGTCAGTGGCGTATCCAGGATTCATGCCTGGGGGGGTCAATAACTCAATATTATACCTAAATATATATTTTTTTACATTAACAAGTAAGTACTTACCTAATTACAGCTAGGTACTATGGTAAATAGTAGGAATAAATAAATAAAAATATGTTTCTTAGGAAAATGGTTTAATAAGTAACATTACATCACAAAACAGCAAAAAATAATCATTAACACAAAAATTAAAGAAACAAATAACAAAAGAAGAAGAAACAAACAAAAGGCCAAGTGAATAAAGAAAAAGCACAGATACAAATAAAATTAAATAACAATATCCAGCTTTTTGGCTTTTACCTGCATTTCATTATGTACCTCTTCTGTACTAACAGATATTTCTGGATACATATACAAAAGGGACAAGCCATTTAGTATGTCCTCACTTAAGGTGTTACGTAGGTAGGACTTTAATAATTTTAGGGTTGAAAATTTCCTTTCAGGTGTTGCCATACAAACTGGTAGTTAAGTGCAAAATTTTTTTAATAAAATAAATATGTTAGGAAATAGTTCTTGGTCACATATTACCAGGGCATCGAGTGCGGAACTTGGGTAGTCTTCTGGTGTATAGTCTTCAAATATTCTATGCCAGAGCTTAAATTTAGCCGAAACTACAGAAAATGAATAGTTTTCTAAGTCGTTTTTATAAAAATCTAGCATATATTTTAGATTCGATACTCATTATTGGATTTTTTATTTAAGGCGGGAAAAAGAGAGCTAAATGACCGTAGTATGTTTTTGTGTTTAACAAACCGATCTTCCAAATGTCATACTACGTGATCTTAAAAAGAAATACAGATTGGAAATCTGTAATAATCTTGAGCAGTTTCAGTTTTAAAATTCGGCCTGTTTTTTTGTCCACTAGTTATTCGTTTTTTTTTTATTTCCTGTCCAAACAATAATTCGTTCATGTTTCTGTTTGCTTCTTCAAAAATATCTGCGAAGCTGGTATTTAAATTATTGTTTAAAATATAAAGTGGACAGGCGCGCGTTGTGCCTGGAGGGGGCAATTGCCCCCTTTGCCCCCCCCTGGATACGCCACTGCAGTTTGTATAGAACTATCTTTAGTCGGCATTTAAAAAAAAAACATCGGGATGTGAATAAAATTGCGTGTTGTTATGGGTTTTGTTGTACTATAGCTGCTAAAGTACTACTTCATGACAAATTATTTATTTAGACAATTAAAAATTAATAAAAGAATCCAATTTGGGTCATATTTCAGAGAACGGTATGACACGATTGTTGCGACATACGTAACTTCACAGTTTCGCCATTTTTAACTCATGATTGGAATTTTCATCTACCTATATGTAAATATAGGTACTAAAAAGCATACGCACAGGGTGCTATTTGAAATTTTCGCTTCGGCATGATATGCAATAAATGGCGGTTTGCGCAACAATCTTGTTGTCACCCGGTATGTACAGGGTGGTCGAAATTGGACTGTTTGGACAAAGAAAACCTATTTCCTGACTAGATAGAGCAAAACCGACATAGATGTCGTGGGCTCGATTTATTTTTTTTTATTTTCTAACCTAACCTAACCAATATAATATTTTAAATGGAAATCATAATTGGCTATGAACTTAAAAAAATGCTGGCGTTTAACCCTTTCCAACGATATAAAGTTGTGGGTATCCACTTCTAAGAATGAGAGAAATATTAGGGTTTTTGATCTTTATATCGAAGCGGGCCTCGATTTTATGTTGACCTATTTGCCTAATTATTTTTATCACAATTTAATATTTTATATTATTGTTTACCTGCATAATTAAAGACTTTGGAAATGGTAAATTAATATACTATATTAGTATTAGTAATTACAATTAAAATCGATAAAGTAAACAAAGAACAAAACTAAAAAAAGTATTTTTTGAGTCGCGGATATGGTTTACTAAAAAAAATCATCAAAGATGTTTAAACTGAGCACCTCCTTGTTGAGCACACAATAAACATCTTTTACGCACAGAGTTACAACAATTTAAGGTCTTATAAATTTCCCCCATAAAAAAGTCGAAAGGAGTTAAATCACAAAATATGGGGCCCCTTGTTCCAGTCCAATTCTCTCTAAATTCTCCATTTAATAGTTCCGTTGTAACCCTGGAGTTTTTATTGTAATTGGTAATACTAATATAGAATGGTGGATTTACCTTTTCAAAAGTCTTTAATTATCCAGACAAATAATAATATAGAATTTTAAATTGTGATCAAAAATAACTAGGCAACTAGGTCAACACAAAATCAAGGCCCGCTTCGATACAAAGATAAAAACCTAATATTTCTCTCATTCTTAGAAATAAATACACGTAACTTTATATCGTTCGAAAGGGTTAAACGGCAGCATTTCTTTAAGTTCATAGCCAACTATGATTTCCATTTAAAAAAGTATATTTTTATTATTTCTCACAAAAAGAGCAAGCATAGAAAAAAAACTACGCCACTGGATTGGGCTTAAAAAAGTGCCTTAGGGCTCGAACACACTGACGACCAGGTCGCACCGGCCAGGCCGCAGCTACCTCTAAAACCATTGAATCAAATGATATAGCGCACACTAACGTCCGGGCCGTCCGTTGGTCGTTGCGACCAGAAGACTGCACGGAAATATTATTATTTTCTGCCGCTTGTTGCCGGTTTTCTTCCAAATTAATAATTTTTCAGATGAAATCCCTCAAATTCAAGGTACAATATTTTATTTTCTATAAGATATAGGGCAGAAAATCCAAAGAAATAGTATACAGACTGGATCAAAGGTAAACTTAAATCTAATCCTTTTTTTTTATCAAGGGTCGATTCCAGTAAAAACTGCAAACATTTTTATATGACATACCGACTCTATTTATGGTTGGTATGATACCTGTTATTATACTTTTGAGTTTCGATGTTAAAAAATAAAAAAAATAATATTTAAAGTTTTTCTACAACCACTTGTTTTTTTTATTAAATTAGTTTTTTTAGTTGTATTGTAGTCATGTACAAGGAGGACAACTGTATTTTAAATATTATATTTAATTTAACGTTTTTCAAACAGGGTTCATTAGACTATATTTCTCCTAGGTACATTATTTTGAAAAAAAATTAAGAAAGTAACTTAAACATTCATAAAAATAGAAATAATTACTGTAGATTCTTCGTTATATTGTAAACATTGAAATAACTGGAAGCTAAACTTTCTACCTGCTTATATTTAGAGCCAGTGTCTAACGATCTTTTTTTACGATGGTCCTAATATGTTTACTTCTAAAGTCGATAAGGGCGCCATATCAGTAGAAAAAAGAAACAGAATATCTCCATTTTTGTCGGTCGCGCGTACACAATGCTTTTTGTTTGTTGTGAATAGCAACTTCGCTTTTTAGTTAACTCGGATATTTTAACATTTCTGAAACAATATTTTCTAATTGGTAAAACGTAAAAAATCGTTAGATTTGACAACTCTGTTGAAACTGGTCGTTTATCTGGCCGCAGCTAAAAACGCAATACATCGGGCCAGCCGACGGCCAGGTCGTTGCGACCTGGTCGTCAGTGAGTTCGAGTCTTAAGAACGTTATTACAGAATTTTATTATTCCGCGAAATACAAAAATTATGGGCAATTTTCCAAACGGTGAAAAATTCAAAAAGACCCCGTATCTCAGTTGACAGTGAGAATATCAACAGGCGGTTTACGCCATTAAACGTGTTTCAGAAATCGAGCCCATGATATCTATGTCGGTTTTGCTCTTATCTAGTCAGGAAATAGGTTTTCTCTGTTAAAACAGACTAATTTCGACCACCCTGTACAAACTATCAATGGATTTTTATTTTATTTTTAGGCTGCTAGCTACTACGTAACAAGACTAGGTTTCAAACCCATCGCTTATAAAGGGTTAGAAACGGGAGAAAGACAATACGCTTCTCACGTTGTTCAACAAAACAAGGTAACTAATTTTGTTAATAAATTTAGTAAAAATACGAATATTGTGTGGTGGGAAAAAAGAACGTCAAACGTCAGATTTTCCTTGAAATGACGATCGGTGACATTCTCCAGAATTTGTTAAAGTAAATAAGATCTTCAAAATGTGGTTTATTGGGAAATATTATGATGAATGTATTTTACGCCAAACACAAAATATTAAAATTCCTTATTTGCATTGCAAAAGACTTTGTTAGAATTTCATTAATTAATATTAATCGCTATTACTAGTTGTAAGAAATTAATATATCATTTAGTAGTTTATTTCTTATTATTTATAGATAATATTCGTTTTTACGTCTGCCTATGGCTCAGGCGACGAAGAATTTAACAATCATGTTGTGAAACATGGAGACGGAGTTAGAACTGTGGCGTTTGCTGTTGAAAACCTTGAAGGAATTGTGAAAGTATGTTTATATTAATATTAATAATAATTGATTTATATTTGTCGTAGTAATATTATAGTATCCGCGTTATACGTTATATAAAAATCACTAATCGCTTTATAAAACTCAGCCAGATTCTAAAATAATCATTTGTTTTATGTCATAAGCTATTTTATAAACTGACCGATAAAATATCAAGCATATTCTCAAGCAGAAATATCAGCTGTTTGCCTCTTACAAAAATTGATTGAAATTTTTTTGAGGGTAAAAGTTACACATATACACAGTACATATGTTTGTACTAAAAATGTGTCGACAGATGGAATATTTTTCGAAAATAACATGTGACACCACTGGCATTTTTTCTCTTGTTAGCAAAATTGTGTAAGCCATTTAATGTCGCTTAAAGGTATATTGATATTTTGTCGATTTCGATCTCTTTGATGTAGAATGTAGAATGAGTGAGGGGGGGATTAGTCACTGCGACATTAAAAGATCTATTCTGCCTCCTTCCTTGAGTCATCACACAGTCTATAACCCATCATACCCCTGTTGTAGAGGGGACAGGGTATTTCCGATCCTCCTCTGACAACAGTTCTTCCTCCGAGGGTACACAGCCTTCCACGGTTGGAGTTTGCCCTTCCGTGCCGCCCTTCACAGTCGATGAGCTTGCCTCCGGCTGAGGTACCCGTGAGGTGGAGGCTGGAGGATCTGTCTCCATTTTTTCCACCTCTTTAACTTGTTCTCTCCTTAGACCAGATACCGGTGTTGTCCCGTATCTATAATAGAGGATATGCCCCTCTTTCTCTATTGCCTCCTTGGATTTGAGGTCAATTCCTATTGTGAGCACCTGACCATGATCCTCATCCCTCGAGTTGATGACTCGCCAACTAGATGTCCTTACATTGAAGTCCTTCGTGGAGCAGTCGGCGGTATCTCCGTGCTTCTGATCCGCTAAGACCTACTTTCAGAGGATCGTCTACCCGGCCTGGATCAACCAGGCAACTTGTGTCGCTTATTGGGTCTAGAGGTAGACTCCCGACCTTTACTAGAGGAGGTGGTAGCTTGTGTGCCACTTGTGGACGCGGGCCTCGCTGAAGTGTCAGCCGCTTCTCCTGTAGTTCCCTTTGGGATTGGTCCCTTGAAACTTTCATTCATAGTGTTCCCAGTGTTACTAGGGGTTTTCCCCACAGCTTCACCGGTGGTCTTTTTATGATTGTTTGATCTCATAGTGTTCCCACGAGTAGCTAGGGTTAGTCAGTCTACTTCTACAGAGCCCCGCATGTAGAGTAAGAGGTAAATACAATGGGGTGCCCCCTGGTGCCTCAAGGTTGAGACCAGTAGAGGCTAGTCTCCATCTAGCCACGCATCCCTTTGACCTGGTCCCACCATCGCATCGTAGGATTTAAGTTTTTTGGTGAGGTTGTCTCCTCTTGGTCCGGGCGGTTAAGCCAAGACCCCCCACACCCTCTACCCGCGAGACTTGACCACAGACAGTAGAAGATGCCTGGTATATATCTTGGTGCAATTCCCTGGCCATGACACTACAACCAGAGATAAGACGATGAGTGAGATTCTTCTTAGACCAAGCCAAAGTGCTAGAGGGGATTTCCCTCAGCACCTGACCAGGAGCTTTCCCACCAACGACAAGGTCTTGCATCTCCTAGGGGAATATCTCTTTGATAAGATAAACGCAATTTTATTAATCACAATTAATAAAATTACAATAATAAAGTATTTAAGTATTTAATCTATTTTATTATTAAATTTTATTGAAATTTATAACACTGATGTACAGAGTAGTCGAAATTGGTTTGTTAACAGAGAAAACCTATTTCTTGACTAGATAGAGCAAGAAAAGAAGAGAAATATCTACAACCATGAATCTATTTTTCTGTGCCGATTGAAACCGGTCTTCTGGTATCGATTGAAGCTGGTCTTTCGGTACCGGTACCAAAATCGGTCTTTTTTTCGGAAACCGGTATACTGGTCTTGTAAAAGACGATACCGATACCGGAATATTTCAAAAGTACCGGTTCTAGTACCGGTATACCGGAAGACCAAACATGCCTAAAGGAGGGTACCCTCAAAAATTATATTTTTCATTTTATAAAATAGCTAAACGTTCAAACCACATTACGAAATGATACAAAAAAACTGATTATATTAGAACGTGGTAAGGTTTTCTAAAGTGGCATTTTATAAAACGGCGAATTTTACAATTTTTCTGGTTACGTTGTATTAAAACCAGTCTAAATATTATCTTTTCAATTTTAGAGAGCCAAAGAACAAGGAGCCGAAATAGTTAAAGATATCTGGGAGGAATCCGATTTTCAAGGAATAGTTCGTTTTGCTACCATTCGTACTGTAAGTAATAATCATAGATAAATGGAACAAGTTTAGATTCCCATAAGGACAATGTAAATACTATTGGGCGCTATTCTTGCAACGATCGCGACCCAAAGCTTTTGATAATTTCGGAGCGGTTCGGCTTTTTCCGGAATTATGTCCCCAAATATATTATTTATTCAAATTTATTCTTAATTTCTTTTAATTTTATATCATCATCTCACAAACTACCTTACAACACACTGGTTATCTCTAAATAACAAATAGTGATCAATCCATTTGCTCTTTTTTCATTTACATTCTATTTATAATTTCTCGTTCTAATTCTATTGTAATTTTAAATAAAATCTTCGACTGTCTAATAAGGTTTCCAATACAATGTTTTTTTTTCAAATAATTAGAGTATTTTTATTTGAAGTTTCATTCAATATTTAAAACTTCCAGACAATAGGACTTTTTACATAACAATTTACATCAAAGGCTATATTTTGTTTTCTCAAGACAGTTAAGTAAACAAAACATTATCAGCTTTAAATTGAAAATTTATTATTAAAATAACAACTAATATGTGTAGTTAAAAATATAGTATGGAATCAAACAAGGGCGGAGTAAATTGAGGGAGGGGGGGAGGGGACTAGACACAAGACTTTACTCAAAGTACATACTCCGGAGTCGTTTATGACATAATAAATCTATACTAATATATAAAATCCTTAAGTGACTGACTCACTGATTAATCATGATCCTGCTCAAACCACTTAACGTAAGAAGCTCAATTTTGGCATACAGGATAATTCTAGGTTCGATAGGAAGGGATTTTTCGAAATTCCAGTTCCAAGGGGGTGAAACCACCCCTCAAATATTAAAATATTTTTTATTTAAAAAACGGTCAAATTTCCGAAAAGACGCTTAAACACGTATATTTTATTTTGTTTTTTACATATTTTAAGATTTTTTAAAAATGTATACAGGGTGTTTCGAAATATCTGGTCATTGATTAATCACGATCCTGCTTAAAGCGCTTGACGTAAAAAGCTGATTTTTGGAAAACGGATTGGCTTTAGGGTGTAGAGTGTAGAGGTTCGATAAGAAGGGATTTTTCGGAACTCGAATTCTAAGGGGGTGAAACCACCCCTCAAATATTAGAATATTTTTTATTTAAAAACCGGTGAGTTTTTCGGAAAAACTCTTAAACACGTATATTTTATTTTGTTGTTTTACATATTTTAAGATTTTTAAAAAATTTATACCAGGTGTTTCATAAAATATGACCATTGAATAATCACGATTCTGCTTAAACTGCTTGAGGTTTAACGCTTATTTTTGGTAAACGTATTGACTGTGGGGTGTAGAGGTTCGATAAGGAGGGGTTTCTCGAATCTCAAATTCCAAGAGAGTGAAAACGCCCCTCAAATATTACAATATTTGTTATTTAAAAAACGGTTAGTCTTTCGGGAAAACGCTTGGACACGCATAATTTATTTTGTTTTTTTACATATTTTGAAATTTTTTAAAAAATAATACAGGGTGTTACAAAAAGTTGGGTAATTGATTAACCACGATTCTGCTTAAACTGCTTGACTTAAAAAGCTTATTTTTGACAAACGGACTTTTCGAAAGTCAAATTCCAACGAGATGAAACTAGCTCTCAAATATTACCAAGTTGTATAATAATATCGCCATATTGTTTTTTCTCATGCTGACATAAATGTGCGAAAATTTTATCCAGTTTGTATGTTAATGGAAATTCTTGCTTTGCTTTATCATCACCATTACAAATGAATAATTCGACACTAGCGAAGTCGCGGGTACATGCTAGTTAATAATATAGTATTACATCACTGACCCGAAGGGGGGTTCGGTTAGGTTAGCTCTTTATTTTAAAAAAAACTAAGGTGATGATGGTTCCAGAAAAACGAAACGTCTTAAGTGATTTTTGATGTCACCAAAGGTTTCTTTTTATTTTTGTTTTATTGAATCGCTGGAGAAACCTTTGTGTAATACTTCATAATTTTAGAACAGGTTTTTATTTATATTTACTTTATAATCGTTCACACCCTAATTTTACCCTCCTTGGGGATGAATTGGGGGGATTAATCGCTTCATATAGTCATTGAGTTACTTAAGAGACCTTTTTAAATTGTTAATAATAAAATTTCATATTCTTAGAATGAGATTTTTACAAATTTTTATACAAATTTCCACCCACTAATTTTACCTCTTTAGGGGATTTACATAAATCGCCTTTCACTGCTCACTTACGTCACTTAGCGATTAGCGAACCTTTTTTTTTTGGTTGAAGTTTAGGTATATGTGTTTAATTAGGAATTAGCTTTGGATATTAGCAATCAGAATAGCGATTCTAACTTTGCCGACCTTTTTCCAAAAACTATGTTCAAAACACTTAATTAGGTTATGTATATTATTCTGGATATTATTATTTATTATTAGTGTTCTATATCCCAAATTTAGATGATTACATAGTGTATAAAAATTAAAAACATTTACGTTTATAGTATGGAGATACAGTGCACACATTCGTCGACAGATCTCTTTATACTGGACCATTCTTACCTGGTTTCGTGTCTGTTTCAGATGATTCCTTAGGAAAAAGCTTGTAAGTTGACACACAGATTATTATTAATATATACTAACGAAATATTTATAAATAAATTAAATTATTTGGGTTCTTATGGATGCACTTGAACTTGTTTTATTCAAATATTAGTACTTTTATATCATATATCTCATAAAGGTTATAATTTAAGACCTAGAGGTGCTTTTAATATGGGATTCAGAAATTGTTAAATGTTCCACAGTTATAAGTGTTCCGTTAATAAAAATATTTCGGGAAACATTTCAAAAACTCTTGTCGTCCATTATATCCAAAAAAGTCCTATGGGTATTTCGCCACTGAAAGAAAATCTACAAAATAAAATAGTTATTTTTTGTAAACACTGCAGCGTCAATCCAACAGAGACTAATTGTCAGCAGTGGCTTACTAATGAACAAATTTACCTAACGGACAAAAAAATGCTTAACGTTTCGGAAAGTATATCTCTTTCAAAGAACAAAAAAAAAACTATTGAAAATATCTAAATGCAAATATTCGAAAACCACTTTAGTTTTTTTTAAACAGATATGTCTACAAAAACCGTTGACGTTCTGTCTGTGGTTCTGTTAAAAATGAATTTTTAAAAAACATCTGAATGAATTTTTAATAGAACGTCAACGGTTTTTGTAAACGTATTTGTTTAAAAAAAACTAAAGTGTTCTCGAATAGTTGTATTTATGTAGATATTTTAAATAGTTTTTTTTCTTTGTTCTTTGTATTTTTTTGCTTCCGACGACAGAAAGAGATATACTTGCCAAATCAAACCAAGCACTTTTTTGGCCGTTAGGCAAATTTGTTCATTAGTAAGCCACTGCTGACAATTAGTCTCCGTTGGATTGACGCTGTGTTTAAATCTACAAAATAAAATAACTATTTTATTTTGTAGATTTTCTTATAAATATATATATATATATATATATATATATATATATATATATATATATATATATATATATATATATATATATATATATATATATATATATATATATATATATATATATATATATATATATATATATATATATATATATATATATATATATATATATATATATAAGAAAATATATATATACGGGATTTTTGACTAGACATTGGTTGTCCATTAATCAAGCATGCAGCTACTGCTGCTTTCCCGTTCACCTTCGCCAAACCTCTCTGTCAAATGCATCCAGTTCTTCCAGCTCTCTGGATGTCATCGCTTGCCTAATGGTGTTGTTCCACGACCTTCTTGGTCTACCTCGCTTTCTTCTTTGTGGAGGACTCCACTGAAACAGACGTTTCGGCCATCGATCTTCCGGTATTCTTAATAGATGGCCAAACCACTTGAGACCTCTGATTTCGACCCTGTCTATAATTGTCTCTGGAGCATTCATTCGGTGTCTAATCTCTATGTTGGTAATTCGGTCCATTTTCGATACACCTGCGCTCCTTCTGAGATAGTCCATTTCGACTGCTGCATACTTCGCAACCATAGCACACCACAGATTCCACCAAGATTTGTCCCAGCCGTTTTTGGTTCTAAGAGAGAGAGATGCTGATCCCACCACAATGAATTCAAGCATCCCACTACTCTCTTGCCAGCTTGAATGCCCTGTTTAGTCACGATTGACCCTAAATATTTGAAGTTGTTGACCTGTGTGACCTGAGTATCATCGGTAATCAGAACTTCAAAGGCCGCTTCACTATTGACTACTAGATATTCTGTTTTTTTAAGACTTACTTGTAGACCCCACTTCTCATATTGTACATAGAGTCTTCTCATCATATATTCAAGGTTAAACGCATCCTGCGCAAGCACCACCTGGTCGTCAGCAAAATTTAAAGTGAACAATTTTTGTGCCCCTATAGGAATACCCATAGGTTCACATTGTCTTTTCCATTCTTCTAGCGCGACTTCTACATAGGCGTTGAAAAGCAAAGGGAAGAGACTGCAGCCCTGTCTGAGACTCTTTGTGGTTAGTATAGGTTCAGACAGTCGATTTCCTACCTTTATGATACATTATTATTGTACAGTTCTTTAATTATTTTTAAGAGATCCTTATCCACGTCTAGCCGTTCGAGGGCCTTCCACAATTTTTGACGGGGTATTGTATCGTAGGCTTTTCCAAGATCTACAAAAGCCAAGTGAACTTCCTGTTCTACGGATATTTGTTTTTCCAGAAGCTGCTGAAGTATGAAAAGGTAGTCAACACAAGATCTGCCCGGTCTAAATCCACTTTGGTCCTCTCCAATTTTATGGCCAATATTTACTCTAAGTTTGGATTGTAGAATTTTACTAAACAACCTACCCATCGTACAATTCACACTTAGTCCTCTGTAGCATCCAGGGTCTCTCCGATTTCCCTTTTTGAATATGGATACTAAATGAGACGTTTTCCATTCTTGGGGTATTCTATTGATTGCTAGGCACTTATTCATAAGGGCTACCAAACGTTCGATCAGAGCGTAGCCCCCGCATTTTAGTAGCTCAGCTGGGATATTACCTGGACCTGGAGATCTTTTATTTTTCATCTTATTAAGTTCTTTTTTTACTTCTGCCACTGATATATTTAGTTTTGTTTCTAGATGTTCTTCTATATTGGCTGAGCCTTCTGCTATGTCCTCTGGCCTACTTTCAATTAATAGTGCCTTGTAGTGGGATGTCCAGGTTTTTAGGTCAATCCATGTGTTGTTCCTTACCTTTGTATCTGATTTTAGTTCTCTAATAGTTCTCCAGACTTCTGTGCTCTGGGCACCTCCTATCATGCTCTCAATCTCCACGCATTTGTTTTCCCATGTTCTGTTTTTTTCTTGTTTTATTGCTTGTCTGACTTCGTTGTTTCTAAGTTTGTATTGGTACCTGTTCTCCGTTGTCCTATTTGTAAGCCAGTTGTTATAAGCCTTATGTTTTTCTGTTATTAAGTATTTAATTTCGTCAGTGAGCCACGACGGTTGCCTTTTTTCGTGTTTTCCAGCTTCGTATCCCAAAGCTTCATGTGCCGCTTGATATAATGCTTTTTTGATGTTTTCATGTTCCGTCTCAATGTTTTCACTTATTTTATGGGTTTCTAAGGCATGCTTTAATCTCTGTTTAAACAGATACTTGGTGCTTTCATTATATAATGATCTTAGGTTGTATTTTTTGTTTTCATGGACAGGCGTTTCAGTGTATTCTACTCTTTCTCGATGTTTTATAACTGACTTCCGATGAAAAGGAAAAATGAGCTTTGCCAAAACCATGTAGTGGTCCGACCCACAGTTAGCTCCACGCTGAACTCTGCAATCGTCAATTTTTATGTTTTTCGATGCTTGCTTTACTATTACATAGTCCAGAATAGATTTTTGCTGTAGAGACGGTCTTTCCCAAGTGAATCTGTGGATATTCTTGTGGTTGAAAAATGTATTTGTTAATTTGAGTCCGAAAAGTTCACAAAGTTCCACCAATCTTTCTCCAGAGTTGTTGATAATTAGCTCTCCATATTGTCCTACTATTTGGCTATTCAAACTAGAACCAACTCTAGCATTGAGATCTCCTGCTAATATAACATCCTGCGCTGGTTTAATTTTTTCAAGGATTGCTGTTAATTTATTATAGAATTGATCCTTGACTACTTGATTACAGTCATCCGTGGGTGCATATACACCTATTATTTTTGTTTCTTGTCCATAAAGGTTCATTGTTGCTATTATAATTCTCTCCGATATACACTCGTAATCTTTTAGATATTTTCGATGTTTTTCTTTAATAAGAATAGATACCCCAGCGCTAGCTCTCATGGACTTACACACCCCTGACCATAGGTGTATGTACCCATCCAACATTTCCTCTCCATTTCCCTTCTTCATATATTCAGACACAATAATAACATCGATGTTTAACTTATCCAACTGGTTTAAAATCTCTGGAGTCTTACTGGTCATACTGTTCATATTCCATGTTGCCAATCTCAAAGTCCGTTTGGTTGCTAAAAGTCGTCGTCGTAAATTTCCATCTAGTTTCCGAGGCTTGGTTATGGTACATTGAGCAGTTTAACTATCTTTTCCGAAGAATGGGTTGCTAACCCATTGCTCCAACCCCCAGACTTTGGAGGACCAGGATTTTCTGTCGGGGTTATCTCCCTTAGCCAATATAAACCAGTTTTAAGGCGCCGGTTACTCGCCTTCACCCTCTTCCGTTTGCTACACAACATACATCCATTGTACGCCCTGCATTGCCCAGAGGTCACGACAAGGACGTGGAAGTAGGATTTGTCTATACGCTTTGGTAAGCTAAAGGCATTTCCCGGAGTTTTATTGTAACAAAAGTCTTGGCTACCTTTGTCACCTCCGGGACCTCAGTCTAGACCATTTGACCTCCTTGTAGACTATACTTGTAGATTTTCTTCCAGTGGCGAAATACCAATAGGACTTTTTTGGATAGATGAATCCGCCACATAGGTATATGATAGGACATTTTTTATCATCCATTATAATCTAAAACTGACATTTATATGCACGCTTTCTCTTGTTTTCGGTTTTGTTTTAGATAAAACGCTTCTTATCGTAGTTCCAGACTTTAAAACAGTTTTTTTATGATACTGTTTGGCTATTCGTCTGATCTTTTCTGACTTTAATTATTGTTACAGGCCACCAGGGAAGCTAGATTTCATCGATCATGTAGTTGGAAATCAACCCGACGGGGAAATGGAATCCGTTGCAAAATGGTATGAAAACGTTCTACAGTTTCATAGATTTTGGTCTGTGGACGACTCGCAGTTGCACACGGAATATTCAGCACTAAGAAGTATTGTAATGGCAAACTGGGAAGAAAATGTCAAGGTATATAAGTATACTATAATATTATGACATAATTATGTACCGGGTGGCCAACTAAGAATGGACGCCGGCTGTATCTCAGAAACTACTTATCGTATAACTTTGGGAAAAAAATTCTAATAAGTAAATCGACCAAGAGAAATTGCTGGAAATTATTTTCAAGTTGGAAAAAGTTGCGGTTTGCGCTGATATTTTGGAAATTTTATGCTCTATTTAACTGTGTACAGAGAAATATAGCCTCCTATTTAAATTTTTACGCAAAAGCGCAATATCTGTTATGTTATGAAACAGCGCCCTCTAGCTACCACGAAAAAAATTGTGGAAACAAAATTTATACTGAAGATTATTAAGGAAGAAAAGCTCTTTTAAACGAGCCCTAGTTTGTTTAAATCGCGTAACCCAAACCAGAGTTATCCTTATTTTAATAAAAGCAAGTTTAACCTTCCCCCACCAGTTTATTTTATGAGATAGAGCAAAATAATTTATATAAAAAAAATTACAAATTTCTCGATGATTACAATAGTAATATTTAAAATACCTGTTCACCTGCATATTTTTGAGAAAAACCCTGTTTTCTGATTGGCTATTAGAGAAACGCCCTCTAGCGGGCATTTCTCGAACTTGAAAATAATTTCCAGCGATTTCTCTTGGTCGATTTACTTATTAGAATTTTTTTCCCAAAGTTATATGATAAGTAGTTTCTGAGATACAGCCGGCGTCCATGCTTAGTTGGCCACCCGGTACATATCACACTTAGTTATAAATTAAAAGTTATAGTACAAGAGCTAGCAACGTCGGAAAAGCAAGTATTTTAAGACGTCTGGCTCTTTGATATATCTTTTACTATGCTCTCTAGAACAGCATGCGGCCCGTCTGGCTGCTGGTAAACGTTGCGTTCCCTACTGCGCATTGGAAGAAGATCCTATATTTTTATTAGTCCGTTAATTTCTAGTATTGAATATAAATCGAACATGTCTCCATAGCGCAGTGCGTAGAGTTTCCGACCACGAACCGATGATTCAGAGTTCGAATCCTGGTCAGGGCAAACACTTTTTAATTTCATTTTCGTTTATATTCTGATAGTAAAGTATTAAATATTTGTTTTTTTTTTTGAATCGCCAGAATTATTTAATACTTTACTATCAGAATATAAACGAAAATAAAATAAAAAAGACTTTGACCTGACCCGGATTCGAACTCTGAATCATTGGTTCGTGGTCGGAAACTACGCACTGCGCTATGGAGACATGTTCGATTTGTATTCAATACTAGAATTTATAGGACTAAATTAATAAAAAAAATATAGGATCTTCTTCCGATGCGCAGTAGTGAACGCAACGGGTATCGGCAGCCAGACGGGCCGCATACTGTTCCAGAGAGCATAGTAAAATATGCGAGATGATACTTTCTCGAAAACATTGCTAGCTCTTAGACTATTAGTTTGTGGTTATACAGAATCAAGAATAACCTAATTTATAAAACATGACTTAATACACTCCTCCTAGCCAAAATTAACGTATAGTTTGTAAGTAAAAAGTCTAATATTCTAAAAATTCTAAGTCTAATATTTCATATTTTAACAGCTCGTTAGATTTCAATGACCTATTTTTAGTCATAGCTGGATAATTATTATTACTATTACTAAGCCCACGGCCACACAGAAAGCGTTTTTAACGTGAAGCGTCTTTTGTGACTAAAACAAAATAACAGGATTATATTATAGGAGTTGGCCGACCAAAAGCGTGTAGCGTTCGGCGTATCTCGCAAAAAAACGCAAATGTTAACAAATCAGTTTGTTTTCTGTAGCGTCTTTAGCGATTTCTAAGATGAGACGTCATAGGTGGACCTTCTTCTTCTTCTTCTTCCTGTCACTTGTGCTTAGCCGCACGTTGGCGATTGTCTGTACTCTTCATACAATGTGTAGACTGCCGTTTTCGGCTCTTCGAAATATGGTGGCTGCGTCGCTGATGTTACACCAATCCCGTATGTTTCTTCGCCAGGAATGTTGTTTTCTTCCTGGGCCTCGCCGCCCCTCTATTTTTCCTTGTAGAATCGGCTTAGGAATGTAATATTTGTCTCCTCTAAGGATATGGCCGAGATATGAGACTTTCCTTTCTTTAACTATGTTAAGCATTTCTCGTTCATAGCCTGCAGTTCTTAAAACTTCTTCGTTGGTGGCATGTGCGGTCCATGACACACGTAAGAGTTTCCGGAGAGTCCACATTTCGAAAGCCTCGATGCGGTTGAGGGTTCTAGCCTTGAGAGACCAGGTTTCTGCGCCGTATAGTAAGATAGGCCATATGTAGCATTTTACTACCCGTAGTCTAAGTGTTAGCGGGAGACTGCGTGCTAATAGGAAGTTTTTAAGTTTAAAAAATGTTGACTTTGCATAATTCGTTCTAAGTTTAACTTCCTCATCGCAGTCCCATCGTTCATTGATCATGGCACCCCTTTGAATAAGAAGACTAAGGAAGGAGCATAATGCTATCCATGTATTCATGCATGGTGGGCGGAAAAGCCACCATAAAAGCTCTCTAGGGTGGGGATCCTTGACAGTTCTGTTTGACGATTCATTTGACACATTTGAATTTGATTTGAAATTTTGTGGATTTGTCAGTCTTTACGGAGCTTATTTTATGTTATTTATTATTTATTCTACTACTGATAGTTATATAAAGGTAGTAAATCTAGATGGAAATTGTGGCAGAACTTAAATTAACAGTGACACTATCGCGATTTATCGAAAAAGACTCTAAAATAATTGGTTGTGTAGCGTGCGGTAGATCTCGGCAAAAAATTGAGTGAAATAATGGAACAACTTTTCGCTAGTAAGTGACTATATAATATACATACGTGTAGTAAACCGATCATTTATGAAATTCACTTAAATTAACTAAATTATATATTTTTCTTGCATTTTAGCTTTTATTTATTACTTGTCAAAGATTAGATGTCAAAGAATTTAGATACGTTAATTTGACTTACCTGCTTCATAGCGTATCGGATGTTTGTGTTAATAAATACTTATTATAACTTATCTATTTTTATTAGAATTATATATTTTTATAACAATTTTAATAACTACCAACATTTATTCACAACATAAAATAAAACAACAAATTATTGAGTCTACCCCACGTCTACCCTACATCATAGTTTTACATTTTTTAAATAAAATTAGAACGACACTGATAAACCGGAATTTAAGTCGGCCATATTTGAGGCCCATCGCGGTGTACCTAAGATTTTTGATATGCTCCTTCCTTAGTCTTCTTATTCAAAGTGGCACCCAGATATTTAAATCGTGGAACTCGCTCTATAATATTTCCATCCACGGTCAATGCGGTGTTGATTGTAGGCTGGCGTCCTATTACCATAAGTTTGGTCTTGGCAGCGTTGATTTTAAGACCGAAACGATTTCCCATGTCCCCTATCTTATTTATTATTTGCTGGAGATCCTCTAAAGTTAGTGCTAGTATTGCCGTATCATCTGCATATCTTATATTGTTAATTAGAACTCCGTTAATCTTAATTCCTCCACTTTCTTCTTCCAGGGCCATTTGAAATATCTTTTCGACGTATATATTAAAAAGTATTGGTGACAGTATACAGCCCTGGCGGACTCCTTGACACACATTGAAGGTGTCTGTGGATAAATTTTTGTTAACTCTTATGTCCGCGGTTTGGTTCCAATATAGTTCCTGTATGATTCTAATGTCTTTGGCGTCTATTCCTATCTCGAGCAGTCTGTTTAGGAGAATATCGTGTTTAACGTTGTCGAAAGCCTATAGGTGGACCTAATATTTAGTAATCCAATAAAAATAAATGAAATAGTATGCATTTTTTTTTTCATTTTAGGGTATTATCTAAAAATATTTTTATATAGAACATCTACTGTTTAGGAAGATTCTATTAAATTCAAAAATTTGAAGGAAATGTTTAAAGAAGTGTAGTTTAAAATGTTGAAAAAGTAATAAATTAAAGGAATATTTTTTATGCCTAAAAAGTGTTTTTTACGAAAATTCTTTATGCGTAACAAATAGTTTTATATGGGTAACAAATAGTTTTTATGCGTAAAAAATATTTTTTTACCGGTAGCAAGTAGTGTTTTACGAGTAAAAAATATTTTTTTTATGTGTAACAAATAGCTTTTTACACTTAAAAAATATTTTTTTCTGCGTAAAAAAGGTTTTTAACAGAAACAAATAGTTTTTTTTGCGTAAAAAATAGTTTTTTACACCTAACAAATAGTTTTTTACACGTATTTTTTTTGCGTAAAATTTTTTTTACCATAAATATTAAGTTTTTGATACGTAAAAAATAGTTTTTTCCGTGTAACAAGTAGTTTTTTTACGCTTAAAAAATATTATCTTTTTGCGTAAAAAAAGTTTTGAAACAATAAATTTTTGACGCGTAAAAAATAGTTTTTGCCGTGTCACAAATAGTTTTTTTACACATAAAAAATATTTTCTTTTTGCATTAAAAGGTTTTTTACCAGAAACAATAAGTTTTTGACGCGTAAATACGTATAACAAATAGTTTTTTTTCACGTAAAAAATAGTTTTTTTACCAGAAACAATAAGTTTTTTACGTGTAAGAAATAGTTTTTTACGTGAAACAAATGGTTTTTTACACGTAATAATTTGATTCACAAAATTTGTATTAAAATATCAATATTTTTGATAAACACGTGGACTGCTCACAAATACACGTCGCGCCACTACGTATTTCTAAGCCGTTAACACGTTTCGTTACAACTAGCTCGTGTGTCAGGGCCGTCTCGCTAGCTCGTATGTCACGGCTTTGAATTTTTACTCCCAGCGCGCGTAAAGAAGTTTCACTTCAAAAAGTTTCATAAATCATGTCCTAAAATTGCGTTAGCAACTAGTAATATTTACTATTCTATTATATAATTATAATTATTTATTATATTATATTATTATATTATAAAACACAAGTAACCACAAAACTACAACATAAAAAATGTATACATAAATAAACTAAAATTCGTAAAATAAATGGCAAATAATAATTATTATTTTTACACACACCACTGGCACTAGCAGTAGATTATGTTTGTCGCCAAATATATGCCCCGGCGATCCGAGCATATCTTTATCTTCGTCTCTTCAACGCTAACCGCGCCGATCTCGCCTATCTCTTTCTTACAGGATCGATTGTTGAACGGGCCGGGAATGCGTTAATTTTGGCTAGATATGCAAAGAACGAATTGTGAAAAATTATATTTGCCATAGCTGCCTATAAATGAACCCGCAGACGGAAAGAAGAAAAGTCAGATTGAAGAGTATGTTGATTATTATGAAGGAGCAGGTGTACAACATATTGCTTTAAATACTCAAGATATTATTTCTTCGGTAAGTACTTAGTATGATCGAAAAAAAAACGGCGTCCAGTTGGCTGGGAAATGACGATCGATGACATTTCCCATATAAATTTAACCAATTTACATATAAAATGACAGCGATTTTCATTTCATAGCATCGCTGACGCCGTTTTTTTTCGATCATGCGGTATTATATTCTGATCACTGTAGTTAAGCAACGTCGGCACGCGGTTAGTACTTGGATGGGTGACCGCTTGGGAACCCCGCGTGTCGTTATTATTTTTTTCTTTTTTCCTCTATTTTTTTACAAACGAAATATCAGCATACCCCCTAATAAATCTTTAATAAATTATTTACTTCTTAACTTGTATTAAGAATTTAACATAAAATTGTTTTCATTAATCATCACGATAATGATGCCAAAATTTGCAACATACATAATAAATGTGGAACTAAACAAGATTTACAAAATATAATAATTAAGAGTTCAACTTTAAAAAAAAATATGTTAAATTCGACAGGTTGATTTACCTGTCGAATACCTGTATTTGTGTAAACTATGACGGTATACTTAATTTTTGTTTTTTAGACAACAACAAAAACAAACTGAGTTATTTTACATAATTTCCATTGTCTCAAAAATCTCAGTTGATTCAGACTTTTGTGAACACTGTAGATGAAACGTTTAGAATAATTTCATATAACTAACGAATACAGCTTGATTTCCATGCATCCGTTATCCGACGATACGATGATACGATATTAATTTTATGGGTTGAATTCGAAGACGTTTATTGGTTACAAAATTCCGTAGTTTTTAAATTTATTGCATTTTCTTCATTTCATTTTTTTTATTGACAAATCACAATTTCATTTCCATAACAGTTTGCATGAGTTTTACTTGATGTTTTAATTTGTTGATATTTTCTGTCCACATATCCGTACACAACCAAGTTTTGTTAAAAAATGTCTATATCTATGTGGCGGATTCAACTCTCCAAAAAAATCCTTTATGGGTATTTCGCCACTGCACTGCAAGAAAATCTACAAATAAAATAATTATTTTTTGTAAATACTTCTGCGTTAAACCTAAACGGACACTGCTTGTCAGAAGTTATGTTTACAGTTATACAAATTTGCCTAACAAAGAAAAAATGCTTACCGTTTCGGAAAGTTTATCTCTTTCCGTCGTCGTCGGAAGCAAAAAAATACAAAGAATAAAGAAAAAAACTATTTAAAATATTTAAATTCTCTTCTAAAAAGTAAACTATTCGAGAACACTTTACTTTTTTAAAACAGATACGTCTTCAAGAAACCGTTGGCGTTCTCGTCAAAAGTGCTTACAAAAAATAACTATTTTATTTCGTTGCAGTGCAGTGGCGAAATACCCATAAAGGATTTATTTATCGCTGAAAAAGCTACCGCTTTGACTATCGCACTGCGAGGAGATGCGACTGATATCCTTCAGACACTGTCACCATCGGAACAGGGAGATTATCAGCAATTGGTACGACATTTAGAAAAGAGGTACGGCTAAGCTCATTTGGAACATGTCTATCATTCCCAGCTAAAAAATCGCATTCAAAAGTCGAATGAGTCTCTGCAGGAGTTTGAAGCCGACGTAGCCCGCCTCGTTCGCCTTACGTACCCTGCTACGCCCGAGAATGTTATGAAGCGGTTGGCAGTACAGGCATTCTCCGACGGCTTACGTGACAACGAGACAAGACAAGCACTTCTCCTAGCCCACCCAACGCACTTGCTGGATGCTTTAGCACGTGCCCTAGAATTTGAGGCCATGAAACAAAGTTCTCGGTCTTTAGGAAGAGTACGGGCCATCGACGAATGTTCCGACGAATCCGTGGAAGGGATTGTTCGGAAGGTAATGGACCAGTACATGGGCAAGAAGGGACCGATTCGTTGCTGGAACTGCGGACAGGTAGAACACGTGCGAAGCCGTTGTAAGTAGAAGAACGAAGAACCGGCTTCGTCGAGAAAACTACTAAGGGTCGAAATGAAGGGGCACACGTCGACCTGTACCCAACATGCCCCAACGAAAACTGCTCAAGTCGCCTCGCTACAACACAAATTCTACAGCATTTTTGTGGATGGTTTTGTTGATGGAGAGTTCCGGACCATGCTGTTGGATACAGGTGCGACGAAAACTATCATTAGACCGGACATTCATAAAACATCGAAGAAGGTTAAACCAAATGGCGACTACGTACTGCTACGGGGGGCTCCGCTGCTGTCCATGGAGAAGTAAACCTTAATTTTGTTATTGGGAGCACCAGTTTTGAACATCCAGTGTTAGTAGCAGATATCGAAGATGAACTTATTCTCGGAATGGACATTATGACCACTAAAGGTTTTGAACTAAACTTCAAACAGGGAATTTTGAAAATAAATGAAGAAGAAGTGGTTCTACATCGAAAATGTGAGGAGACACTTCGCGTGGTGGTAGCAGAAGATGTTTCGATCCCTGAGCGCTGTGAGATATTTTTGGATGGCTGCCTGGAAGGTAAAATGAATAATGGGAGTATTATTCTGTTGGAGCCAAGGAACCATTACAGCGAAATAGGACGAGGGGTCGCTGTTGGAAAAGCCCTGCTACGAGCGAAGAAGACTGTACCGGTGAGAGTAATGAACACGAATTATTATTCTGTATCCTTGAAGAAGGGAACCCTGTTAGGGTACTGTTGTTCGGTCTCCTCAGTTATACGAAGCGTAGAAGCCTCCAAAGTTTCGACTTCAAAAATTCCGGACAAAATGGTGAAGGAGTTTGTAAACGTTAAGGGATTATATCTCCCGAAAATAGTAGAAAATTGAGAAACCTGATAATCAAGTATCAAGATGTGTTTGATAAAGGAGAAGCAGGACAGAGAGGTCGTACCAATTTAGTACAACATAAAATTGATACCGGAAATGCACGACCAATCCAACAAAATCCGAGAAGACTTCCGCTCGCCAAACGTGAAGAAACTAATAAAATCCTTCGAGAAATGAAAGAAGAGGGTGTCATCGAACCATCTAACAGCCCGTGGACATCGCCGGTAGTACTAGTAAAGAAGAAAGACGGTACCACCAGGTTCTGTGTTGATTATCGGCAGCTCAATAATGTTACCAAGAAGGATAGTTATCCCCTGCCGAGGATAGACGATACTCTAGACACGTTGGCGGGATCGACAATATTCACTACCTTGGATCTGAAGACTGGATATTGGCAAGTCGACATGGCGCCTAAAGACAGGGAGAAGACAGCGTTCTCGGTGGGCTCCGGACTGTGGCAATTTACCGTCATGCCTTTTGGATTGTGCAACGCGCCAGCTACCTTAGAAAGACTAATGGAGTCTGTGTTAAAGGGACTATCCTGGACCACCTGTTTAGTGTACCTGGATGACATTATAGTGATGGGGAAATCCTTCGACGATCATCTGAAGAATTTGGAAGAAGTTTTCAAGCGACTTGCGAGCTCTGGTTTGAAACTTAGCCCCAAGAAATGTCATCTGTGTCAAGAAAAGGTACACTACTTGGGCCATGTAGTCTCCTCCCAGGGAGTTGCGGTAGATCCACAGAAGACCAAGACAGTGGAAGAGTGGCCGATACCCAAAGACAAACATGAACTCAGAAGCTTTTTGGGGCTATGCACATACTATCGCCGTTATGTACAGGGTTTCGCCACCATCGCAAAACCAATGACCAGATTTACCGAAGGCGAGAGGCGTTTCTCTTGGGACTCAGATTCTGACGAGGCATTCCGAAGATTGAAGAAAGCCCTGACTAGTGCGCCTGTACTTAGCTATCCTCTTGGCAACGGAAACTTTATATTAGATACCGACGCTAGCAATGTTGGATTAGGCGCTGTTCTGTCTCAAATCCAGGATGGTCAAGAAAAAGTAATTGGTTATTTTAGTAAGACCTTGTCAAAGCTGGAAAGGAACTACTGCATGATCAGACGAGAATTACTAGCCGTAGTTAAAGCAGTGGAACACTTCTACAAGTATCTCTATGGAAGAAAGTTCTTGTTAAGAACAGACCATGCTGCTTTAAAATGGCTGTTGCAGTTTAAGAATCCTGAAGAGCAGGTAGCTAGATGGATCGAACGATTACAAGAATTTGACTTCGACACAGAACATCGAGCTGGAGCAATCCATCGAAATGTCGACACACTTTCCAGAAGACCTTGCGCTAAGGACTGTAAACATTGTTCCCGAGCAGAAGAGAAAGAAGCGAAACTCCTAAGAACAACTGTGGTTAACGATACTTGGCAACCCGAAGATCTTGCAAACGACCAAATCTGTGACCCACAATAAGGCTTAGTGATTAACTGGAAAAACGCGGTCCAAAGACCAACGTGGGGAGAAGTTTGCAGATATTCGCCGAACGTGAAGTCGTACTGGGCCCAGTGGAATTCCTTGGTAATAGATGACGGGTTACTCCGCCGCGTGATTGAGAGACCAGAGGGACAAGAAGAGAGAAGGCAGATCGTCATTCCAAAGAAGAGGGTCCCGGAAGTCTTGGAGGAAGTTCACAATGGAACCAGCGGTGGACATCTTGGTGTTACCAAGACACTTGGCAAGCTGCGTGAACGGTTCTATTGGGTGAACTGCAAAGAAGTGAGGGCCTGGTGCAAGAAATGTGACGTTTGCGCCGCCATCAATGGGCCACAAAAGCGCGGTAAAGCCCCAATGCGCCAGTACAATGTAGGCAGTCCCTTCGAACGAATAGCGATCGACGTGGCTGGTCCTTTCCCAGAGACGAACGATGGCAACAAATACATTGTGGTAGTAATGGATTACTTCAGCAAATGGGTCGAGGCCTTGCCAAATCGTTGCGAAATGCCAAATCAAGAAGCGTCCACCATTGCTGATTCCCTTGTTAAAGAATGGATCTGCAGGTTTGGTGTTCCCATGGAGTTTCATTCCGATCAGGAAAGAAACTTCGAGTCTAATCTGTTCCAAGGCGTCTGTGAAGTCCTTAACATCCGCAGGACCAGGACAACTGCTCTACATCCACAATCCGATGGGATGGTTGAACGCATGAACAGAACTATCAACCGTTATCTGGCCAAAGTAGTTTCTGACCACCAAAGAGACTGGGACAAATTCCTTCACCGGTTCCTGTTGGCCTACCGTTCATCCATCCAAGAATCTACAGGGCAAACCCCAGCCAGCATCGTTATGGGACGGGAAGTGCGCCTACCCTGTGATCTGAAATTTGGTTGCCGACCGGGAGAAGAAGTCGCCGGAGAAGATTATGTCCACACACTACGTCAAAGGATGGACGACATCCATCAGCGAGTCCGCCTAAATATTCAAAGTGCTAGTGACCGAATAAAGGAACACTACGACATTCAAGCTGAGCATGGAGGATACCAACCAGGAAAGTTGGTGTGGCTATACAAAAATATATATCCGAAGCTACAATCCTCGTGGGAAGGGCCATACGAAGTCATGGATAGGATTAATGACGTCGTATACCAAACCAAACCAAACCAAACCAAACCGAGGGTAGTCCATTTCAACCGTTTGAGCGCCTACCAAGGCGAAATAGAAGATCGTGCTGGGACCGTGAGAACCTGCAGCTTTGATCCCCCTGATTCGGAGATGTCCTTTGACGATTTCACGGCCCGATACAACAGCAGTCAGAAGACTCGCTATGGTGTAACCAAAGAAGAACAACGAGACCTCTTTTCCGTGCCTCCTGATTATTCGCTCGCTCACTGTGTGGCCCGAGATTTGCGGATATCCAGACGAATCGCTGCGACATTCAATGAGAAGTTTGGGAGAGTCGGAGAACTACGCCGACAGGATCCAGAGGTTGGAAGCGTCTTGAGGCTAACTGACAATGAACATGGTCAAGCAAGGCACATTTTCTACCTAGTCACCATTAATGGTCCCCAAGTAAGCCGACTTATCTCAATCTTTGGAAGACCCTGATTGAACTGAGAGAAGCCCTGCTAAACAACAACATTACACGATTAGCCATTCCGAAGCTGGAGTGTGGACTCGATGGTTTGAGTTGGCGTACAATCCGGAACATGATTGAAGTCTTGTTCAGATTTACGGGAATCGAGGTCCTCGTTTGCTGCTACAACCCAAAGCTGAGATCGGGAGAGAAAACTGCAGACTGCTATTTCTACCAGACTTCTCAATGTACCAGGGGCCAGCTTTGCAAATACCTTCATTCACCGTGTACATCTCGGGACGAGCATGTACCTAAGAAGGGGGCAGTGTTGCGGACCCGTGGGGACTCGACCTAACCTAACTATATGTTCCGCCCTCAGATGACCTTAACATCGCATTAAAGAATAGACACCGTAATGATTCATTAAGAATCGAGTCTCACTGGAATGGAGTAGTACATACGAGAACACTGGAAACCTTCTCTATGCACCTAACGATCTATAGACTATACTAGAGATCTTTAGCTGTCGGTATAAAAGCCGACGGCTGTGGCCTAGAGAGGGCAGTTATAAATAGACAAGTACAGTTGACGCGCTAAAATTCAAAATAAATTCTTAGTTATAAATCGTTTGTAAATAGTTCTTTAAGTCTTTTATCGTTATTGTTTTTGTTAATTAGTGTTAAATAAATAGTGTTTAAATAAATTGTGACTTTCTATCCACACGGAACCGACGAAAAACGTAACAGTATGAAAAGATTTACTTTACTTTCGCCGTTGACGGACAGCAGTTTCAGTTGAAAAGTGGCGCGAAAACATTATCACCAATCAGAGCGCCATCGGATGATCGTATCAATGGGTGACGGAAGCATGGAAATCCACTTTAATGCTACTGCCAAGTGTTTCATCGTGACCACATGCTCTCGATATAGTAAAACTCAAAAAAAAACTCAGACTGAAAACGCCTACTGTTGCATTGATTTCATTCATTGATCATATGGTATTTTGAACTTTATTTTAGGTAGAGAACCTGAAGTCACGTGGAATAGATTTTCTGCAGGTGCCAGATTCTTATTACGACATTTTACGAAAGAAATTGGCGAACAGCAAAGTCAGGATTGATGAAGAGATGGATATTTTACAGAAACTAAAAATTCTTATCGACTATGACGAAAACGGATACTTGCTCCAGATTTTTACTAAAAACATGCAAGATCGCCCCACGCTGTTTCTGGAAGTAATTCAAAGGAAAAATCATAATGTAAGTAAACTTTATTAAACCCTTATGATTTTTAAATGTATAATAGTGATGGGCATTACGATTCTTTTTAGTGGATCGAATCACACGATTCAATTTCTCATATTGAATCGACTCCTACGATTCGTTTATTTGAACGAATCACATGCACAATTTACGTTTCATAAAAACAAGAATCGTAACTGGTACTACCGGCGATAATTTGGCCGGACAATTATACTTAAGGAACCAGAAAAACAAATATTCAGTTCTTTCATTTGTTTTTCAACACTCTCTGACATTGGCGTAATTGGATTGATTATATTTTACCAATAACATAAAATGATCAATCCAATTCATAGATACTATTTATTAAAGACTGCTTAATACCAATTTAATATTTTTAGAGCCATATTTTAATTCCGATTTAATAATCATAATAAATAGTATATGATCGAAAAAAAATGGCATCCAGATGGCTTGGAAATGAACGATGACATTCCCCATATAATTTTACATATAAAATGACAGCGATCTTCATTTTATAACCATCGCTGACGCGATCATATTGAGCAGAAGCCAACAATATTTATTCGGAGTTGCATAAAAACACGATTTCGTCTTTTAGTCCGACATTTAATGGTTTATAGTCGGTAATATTATTTTAACAAAAATATTAACTTGAAAATTAAATGCATTACACATGCTCCCGTACTAAGCACAGTATAAATAAGTTTTTTCTTGTAAATAACCTTCTTATCGTTTTCATTTTATTCCCATGATGTTTGTTTAGGGCAAGTCTAAATATTGGTGCCTCACTCTATACCTATATCACCGCCGCGCCGTAGAAACGAACGATCGCATTGTGATCCGATTCAATTCTCACGATTCTTTTTTACGGCTCATTGTTCAAATCTTATGGATCCGTGCAGGCCACGATTCAATTGAACGAACCGTATTGTAAGCAATGATTCGATTCTCACGAGTCTTTTAATGAACGATCCGTACAAACAAATGATCGCATTGTGATCCACGATTCTTTTTTACGACTCATCGTTCAAATCTTATGGATCCGTGCTGGCCACAATTCAATTGAACGAACCGTATTGTAAGCAATGATTCTATTCTCAAGACTCACAGTTGTTCTCAGATAGGTCATTACTTAGAAATATTAATTTCAAAATGTTTGCATGAAACTGTTGCTAATACTTTTTTATATTCCCCTATAAACAATACATATTAAATAACAAAATCAAGTACGCCCAAGTAATCCTGAAGCGCTTTTTTTATTAGAAATGTCACATTTTTGCTACTGGTATCAAGCTGACATAAATAGTTTTCAGATAACGCCAATTAATTACTTATTTTATTAAAATTGATAAAAGCTGTTGCCTTTTCTGTAATGGACGTTCGAAAAGAAGGTAAAAACAACTGTTTTTTCTTTTTTGCACTTTAATACCTGAACAAACCTAAGTAATATTAGTTTATGGCAATTTATTTGAAGGCAACAAAAATAGTATTTTTACATTTTTGCTTGTCACTCTTTAAGACTTTTAACTACTTTCCCTTTCAAATCCTCTTAAACGGCATGATAATACTTGTTGCTTAAAGAATATTGCATATAAATTAGTTGCCACTGGCTGCCGCGAATTGTCGCCGGATCTTATACTGGGTGGTTAAAGATTGACTTTTTGTCTTAAAATAAAAGTAACTTCTTTTTCCTCTTCGTGTCAACTTATTTCGTGGACACACTGTATATCAATTGACAATAAAATTGTATTTATAAAATGAAACAACTGTCTCTTGTATTTTTTCAACATTTAAAATAAATTTGACCTCTTCAATATGAAAAAACATGTACATATGTGCAAACATAATCTGTATACCTTTTCGAATAGTTAGAACTTAAAATGCAAATCACACGAACTGGGCCCAATTTTTTTAATACATATTACATTAAGTTTTTTATATACATTTATTTAGCATTTGTTATCAATTTCTATTAAAAAAGGTGCAGTCAAGCTATATCTAGATATCTAACAGTTAATTAAGGGGAACTAATTATTGGTGGAAATGAAGGGAACTAACTATTGGTTCCCCTTAATTAAGCGCAGCTAACTAAGGGGAACCCCTCTGCGACTCTTTGAATTAACGATCCGTAGAAAGAAACGATCGCATTGTGATCCGATTCAATTCTCACGATTCTTTTTTACGACTCATCGTTCAAATCTTATCGATCCTTGCTGGCCACGATTCGGTTGAACGAACCGCATTGTAAGCAGTGATTCGATTCTCACGACTCTTTGAATGAACTATCCGTAGAAACAAATGATCGCGTTGTGATACGATTCAATTCTCACGATTCTTTTTTACGACTCATCGTTCAAATCTTATCGATCTCTGCTGGCCACGATTCAATTAAACGAACCGTATTGTAAGCAGTAATTCGATTCTGATGACTCTTTGAATGAACTATCCGTAGAAACAAACGATCGCATTGTGATCCGATTCAATTCTCACGATTCTTTTTTACGGCTCATCGTTCAAATCTTATCGATCCCTGCTGGCCACCATTCAATTGAACGAACCGTATTGTAAGCAATGATTCGATTCTCACGACTCTTTGAATGAACGATCCGTAGAAACAAACGATCGCATTGTGATCCGATTCAATTCTCACGCTCCTTTTTAACGGCTCAGCGTTCAAATCTTATGGATCCTTGCTGGTCACGATTCAATTGAACGAACCGTATTCTAAGCAATGATTCGATTCTCACGACTCTTTGAATGAACGATCCGTAGAAACAAATGATCGCATTGTGATCCGATTCAATTCTCACGATTCTTTTTTACGGCTCATCGTTCAAATCTTATGGATCCTTGCTGGTCACGATTCAATTGAACGAACCGTATTGTAAGCAGTGATTCGATTCTCACGACTCTTTGAATGAACGATCCGTAGAAACAAATGATCGCATTGTGATACGATTCAATTTTCACGATTCTTTTTTACGGCTCATCGTTCAAATCTTATGAATCCGTGCTGGCCACGATTCAGTTGAACGAACCATATTCTAAGCAGTGAATCGAATCACGTTTCATTTTTAATACTCGTTCAATATTTGTCCACCTCTAATGTATAAATATCGAAAAAATGGCGTCAAAGACGGCTGGGGAATGACAATCGATGATAATTCACAAGCCCCAGACATCATTACTTACCCTGTACTCTTCTTTATTTTTTAATGGCGCTTACTGCCAGTTGACCTTAGCTAAGTTCACCGGAAATAACTACATCTTTTGATTTTCAAATGGTACCCTCGGTATTTTATCATTTTATTTGAGTGGCATGTGCCATGGCTGTGTTAAAACCACAAAACTAGATTTGGCTCAAGTTTCGTTTAGACGAAATCAGTTACATAGAATATCGATTTATAGGATGATTCTATACAAGAAAACTAGCACTACATAATTTGATTTTTGCCGCGGAAATTCTTGGTTTTTGAGAAAACTCGAATTTTTAATTTTTCTATTATTAACTAAAAATTAAAACTTTGCGGTGTTTTTAATAGTTTTTTTCATTATAGAATGACGTAAAAACATTTACCTAATATAACGATGTGAACTAATTTTTATTCGAAAATATTTATCATAATCATTTTCATTGATCTTTCCGCGTTTAGAAGTGCCGAAATGTGATAGGAAGATAAAAACTACATATTTTTGTTTGATTAATAATTTGCTATAACTTTTCTATACAGGGTCCGGCAATAGTGCGTCGGGCATCTGTAGCTCCTAGAATAAAAAACTTGAGAATTTTGTTTAAGTGCAGACCTAAAGTATGTACCAGGATGTATTTCCGGAAAATATTTTAACTTCTATAGGGTGACTCAAAAAAGTGCGAGTGGATTTTTTTTAAATGGAACACCCTGTATATTATTGCATTTTTGGCTTCCTTTCAGATCATTTTACACAATCCTAAGATATGAGTAAATCTATTTCGATAGTTTCAGAGATATTAAAAAATAAATCAAAAATATATATTTCTCAACCCTTCTTAAAAAAATATATTAAAAATACAAGAACTGTTCTGAAATCAAAACTATATTAGATATTTACTTTAGATGGTCTGTTCTTACTTTGCTCTAAATATGGTAATCGTAAATCATACAGGATGTTCAATATTTTACGCCAAACTTTCAAAAATATAAAATAATTTTTGTTGGTTTCTTTAAATGGAACACCCTGTATATTATTTTTTTATTTGATGGAGAATTAAAAAATGAACATTTTTTGTATTTAAAGTATTTCAACATTTTTAATAGTTTTCATATGGCGTTTTCAATGGTAAAATACGAGAGAAAAATCATTGGGTGGCTTTGACAAAAATTTACTGTGGAAAATGCCATATGAAATACAAAACCGGGAATATCTGCGAAATCGTTAAAAATTTTGAAATACTCTAAATGCAAAAAATGTTCATTTTTTAATTCTCTATCTATTGGAAAAATAATATACAGGGTGTTCCGTTTGAAAAAACAAAGAAAAATTATTTTATATTTTAGAAAGTTTGGCGTAGAATTTTGAACATCCTGTATGATTTACGATTACCATATTTATAGCAAAGTAAGTAAAGACCATCTAAAGTAAATATCTAATATAGTTTTGATTTCAGGACAAGTTCTTGTATTATTAATAATTTTTTTTAGAAAGGCTGAAAAATAAATAATTTTTATTTATTTATTAATATCTCTGAAATTATCTAATATATTTACTCATGTCTTAGGATTATGTAAAGTGATCTGAAAGGAAGCCAAAAAAGCAATAATATACAGGGTGTTCCATTTAAAAAAAATCATCCCGATCCACTAACACTTTTTTGAGCCACCCTATAGAAGTTAAAATATTTTCCTGAAATATATCTTAGTACATACTTTAAATTTGCACTTAAACAAAATTCCCAAGTTTTTTATTCTAGGACCTACAGATGCCCGACACACTATTGCCGGACCCTGTATAACTTTTTCCGCGGAAATTTATCATAAAGGCGGTGTAATGGAAAACCTTCAATATTTCGAAGTTTTCCATAGTATTCTCAACTTTTTACATACTTTTGGTTTGGTTTGGTTATTTTTTTAGGGTTTGGTTTGGTTTAGTTATCGTTTTTTTGCTCTATTGACAATTTTTTTTTAAATTTTCGCATTCATTGACCATAGCGATATTAAGTTGATAAGAATAGATATTATTCATTCATCTGTGTCAAAGGTCGGGAAGAAGATCACTGCATGGTGGTGAAACAACGCATTTCCGCGGATTTTAATTTTTGTATCGGTGCTTAAAAATAAGTATACAATATAATATTAATTTTTTATATATCTCATTTCGTTACTTCCAAACCGTATTCAAAAAATGGCAACAACGCATTTCCGCAGAATATCATTTTCGTATTAGTAGTTACAAAGACGTCTAAAATATGAAATAACATTAATTTTTCATGTATGTCATTTCGTTACTTTTAAACCGCATTCAAAAAATGGTGACGCATTTCCGCGGCAAAATTTTTTCAGTAATATACTCCCTGAAGTACCGAGATGACATAAAAAGTTTTTTTTTTCTTTTTTTTAACAGATTTCGGCTAAATGAAACTTGACCCCTAGATTTGATCTTCTAATATTTTTCGTCTCTTTTCCTGACCGGATAAAAGATGCCCAAATCGTATTTTAAATCAAAACTCAATTTTTTCAAATGGAACGAAGGTGGCTCATTAGCATATTTGGAAAAAGCATTTTTACGAATAATTTGGTACCACATACTTCGTATTTTGAGTCAAATTGTCGTTACATTTATGGCCGTGGCACTCTAAGTTGAAATTTAAAATACTATTTTTGAAGTGAAACTTCTTTACGCACGCTGGATGTAAAAATTCAAGGCTGTGACACACGAGCTAGTGATAACGAAAAGTGATAACAATCGAAAAAGTGGTTTGGTTTTGTAAAAAACTATTTGTTACACATAAAAAAATATTTGTTACACGGAAAACCCCATTTTTACACGTAATAAACCATTTTTTAGGCGTAAAAAACTATTTGTTACACGTTGTTGACATATGATATGACATTTTAATCAGAATGCCATTCTCTATCTAATAAAGTAAAAAAATATCAAGGCTGCCATTTAAAAATCAAAAGTTGTAGTCATTTCCGGTGAACTTAGCTAAGGTCAACTGGCAGTAAGCACCATTAAAAAATAAACTTATTTGATTTTTCATTTTTCTTATTGAACGGGCTGACACCGGTGACCAAATATTGGCTATCCGGTGTTCCGGTGTCGACTGGACCGACACCGGTGTTCATCTCGACACCGGTGTTGGTCTGGGCACCGGTGTTCATCTCGATACCGGTTTTGACATCGACATCAGTGTTTAGTAAACGGTAAATGGGTTAATGAAGAAATAATGTTAATTAATAAGTTCAAAATAAACCTGATAATAATAATGTCGTATCGGTGCTTATTTTTATCATTCATTAAAGCGCACCGACTTTAACTTAAAGCTTTCAAATTTAAATATATTTTTTTTGTCAGACTAATCACTAAAATAAAGTGGAAGCGTCAGATAAACAACTATAGAGTAAAAAAATGTTTAATCAAAAAAAAACAGAACACAAAACATAAAAGAAACAAAAATTCGTAGCTGTAAAATAAACTAAAAAATATTACCTTAAAAAAACAAACAAACGGCACCATCGACATCGACACCGCTACCGGTGTTGAAATAAACACCGGTGTTGGGATAAACACCGGTGTTGAGATAAACACCGGAGTCGATGTTGACACCGGTACACCGACTGAAACACCGGTGGTCATCAACACCTAACAAATCTCAACACCGAACAGGTCTACACTAGCATACCAAATATGGTTTTTTTTTCTGAAAAAATAAAAATGTTATAGGAGTGAGCCTATTTTGAAAAACACTGTGTAGTCTCTATTTTGCATAAAAAAATACCCTGTCTTTTTTTACAGAATGTCTTTTTTTGTATTCACCATACTTAAGAACATTTTTAGTCAAAATATTTTAAACCTTCAACTTTTTAAATTTTTTTCGTTTTCTAGGGTTTCGGAGCTGGCAATTTCAAAGCTCTTTTTGAAGCAATTGAAATGGAACAAGCCAAGCGTGGAAATCTGTAAACTACATTTTCCATTTTAAGATAATTAAAATTAGATTTTTTATTAGTGTTATCAAATTTTTATTTCTTTTTATTAAAACTAGAGTTTATTTTTTTATTTTAGTTTTGTAGCTTTATGTAATTGCTTTTGGTGTTAAGTTAGGATTAAGTTAAAGCCAACAAAATATGTCTAGGTAAAACAACATGCCGAGTCAAATTAAGATTAGATTTAAGAAAAATACATAAATATATTTTGTAATAGTTTAAGATTTATTGATATAAAAAGTAATAATATAATGGTTTTTTATCTAGTTTGATCCATAGAATATTTTAGGTTATATAATATACATCTTTCCTTAGGCTATAATTATATAAAATATATTATAATACACAATATGAAATAAACGGTGAAGGTGTTAATAATCGTCTTTGTCTGATTCTTGCGTGTTAAGATCCATGTTCCAAAACCCTAAAAAAATTAAAACTTTTAATATAAAGACAAGTTGACGGACAGTATTATGGCTGGTTCATGCTTCTGAGAGTTAGTCTCAAGAATATGAATCACAAAACATCGACCTTTAGAACTTTTTCTTTAATGGCTATAAACGGGAGTAACCGTGCTAACAATCCCTAGAGGCGCCACCGGTCATCAAATGGTGTAAAAATTGCGAAAATTTATTATTCCAATTTTATTACTATGTACAGGGTGGGTCAAATTCGACGCTTTTAAATGGAAACACCCTTTTCTATAGGAGATAGACGAAAACTAATATCGGTGTCTGGAGCTCAATTTTTGTCAAAAACATGATGGTGAAAACCGCATATCGATATCTGTTACCGATTCGGAGTTACGGGGTGTTTTTCAAAAATATGCATTTCTAACAAATCGCTGTAACTTTTTTGCTATGGAAAATTTTGTATTTTTATGAAAACATTTCCAAAGCACCTTTTTACGTAGAATTTAATGGTTTAAGTATAATTTTTTTAAAATTAATAATTTAAGAATTATCAACAGAAAATTTGATTTTTTATATGGGACACCCTGTATATTTTTAATTTATTGAAAAGAATTTAAAATTACCTTTCCAAAAATATAACACACTTGATATTTTGCTCGATTCCTCTTCGAGATATAGAGTATATAAAAATTCGCCCGCTTTAAATAAGTAGGATTTGAATGGCACAGAATTTTATAACAATTTAAAATATATTTAACCAACATCAATACATTTAAACTATATCTAATAACAATAAAAATAAATAGCAAACCAAGACATGAGATTTTGCTACATGTGTTCGACGTATCGGACATTTCTCGCGGAATTCATTAACACAGTGGGGGTGAAAGATACCCTCTCATAACTGCTAAGTATTTCTAATTATTGTCTAGATTATACGGAAGAATAAGGAACCTTTATTCTTCCGCAAATATATCCATAGGATTAGATCCGTGGGCACTAAATCAGGCGGCCCCAACGGCCTACGGCTGGGATCTTGGTTAGCTATTAAGTTATTCTTGAAATTGGCTGCAAAAATTTGCTGATAACTTCAGCGTTCAGAGGCGGTGCGTCGTCTTGCTGGAAAAGTATGTTTTCAAGTTCCATTAAGGGCATATCATCAATAAGGGGTCCAAAGCCTACTAGTTAAAAGCGGCAAACTTTTAAAAATTCTGTATTTCGAAGGGGATTATAACAAAATATTAAGTGTGCTATATTTTTGGAAAGGTAATTTTAAATTCTTTTCGGTTAATTAAAAATATAGATGGTGTCCCAAATAAAAAATCAATTTTTCTGTTGATAACTCCTAAATTATTAATTTTAAAAAAATTATACTTCAACCGTTAAACTCTACGTTAAAAGGTGCTTTGGAAATGTTTTCATAGAAATACAACATTTTCCATAGCAAAAAAGTTACAGCGATTTGTTAAAATGCACATTTTTGAAAAACACCCCGTAACTCCGAAGCGGTAACAGATATTGATGTGCGGTTTTCACCATCATGTTTTTGATGAAAATTGAGCTCCAGACACCGATATTAGTTTTTGTCTATCTCCTATACAAAAGGGTGTTTCCATTTAAAAGCGTCGAATTTGACCCACCCTGTACATTTTTTCAGATATTTTAAGAACCGTTATTCCGATTTAAATGAGATTTTGGGTGTCTATGCTATGCAAAGTGCTTAAACATTTGACTTTTACAAAAATCAAGAAAAAGTACGGGAAGGGTGAAAACTACCCCCACCCCTACATAAATTTTAGTATAAATATTTTCCAACTCCACCGACGACAGATTTTCTTTTCGTAAAATGGTCCCTCTAGTATTTACTACATTTTTTGTCTCTTGTAAAAAAAAACGCCACATCGCATAGTTTTTGAGAAAAAAAAATTTGGAGAATTTATTTTTACAAAGGAGACCTATAAAATATACAGGGAGTTCCTATATTCCATGGACATAAGAAAACTACATATTTTTCGAATCAAAATAAGTTAATTGCACATAATTTACCTTTATACAAAAGTGCTTCGTTTGTCCGTTAGAGGGCATCAATCAAAAATAAACCAGAACGTTAATTAATTTAAAATTTATGAATTTTTGTAAACTTTTTATGGAACTTCTTCTCAAATATAATTTGTGATACTAACATAAAATTCAATATTTTCGCCAACTAGATTATTAGAACATAATACATTTTATGCGCCTCCGTAGCTTGATGTGATAAAAAACATTTTTTGGAAGTCAGCTTCATGCACGATAGCGTTTTTTTACAAGAGACGAAAAATGTAGTAAATACTAGAAGGTCCATTTTGCGAAAAAAAACCTGTCGTCGGTTGAGTTGGAAAATATGTATACTAAAATTTGTGTAAGGGTGGGGGTAGTTTTCAATCATCCCGTAATTTTTCTTTATTTCTGTAAAAGTCAAATGTTAAAGCACTTAGCAAAATATAGACACACAAAATCTCATTAAAATCGGAATAACGGTTCTTAAAATATCTAAAAAAATGTAATTATTTTTTTTAAAGTTTGATGCCCTCTAACGGACAAACGAAGCACTTTTGTATAGAAGTAAATTGTGTCCAATGAACTTATTTTGATTCCAAAAATACATGGTAGTTCTATGTCCACGGAATATTGGGACACCCTGTATACAGCTATTAACTGACATTTTTAGTAGGCGAACAATCACGAGATGGCGTTTTATTTACTTTCATTTCTGAACAGGACAGATGGAGTTCTAAAGTGGAATGTTTTGTGATACGAATCAACGTTAACAAACGCTAGCGTACATGATTCTGACGCATCAGTCCTAAAATAAGTCCTAACGGGTCCTAAGAAATATGGGATATTTTATGTTCTTAGGGCTAATACTAATACAAAATTAATTTGCGCATGCTCAAACGTAGGGTTTTTACGAATTTTAGAAACAATATTTGACTTGTTGAATTTGACGCTTATAAATGTTAATACAGGGTGGTCCGAACTGTATTCCGGAAACTTCGGCAGCATATTCTGCAGATAAAAATAAGTAAAAATGTTCGTATAGATGTATGTCCAAAAATGCAAATATGGATGTATGTCCAGAAATCGAAATAAAAATTTCATTTTTATTTCGATTTTTTAAATAATTTCTGCGGTAACGTCAATATTTGGATTAAAATTGGTGTCTGGGAGTTTTTTGACATGAGACATTTGATTTTGATGTCAATATGACTCCTACTAGTAGAGGGCGCCACCTACATATTTTTTAACTGGTTTGAAGAGTAATAACTTTTCGTCCGTACCTGTATAAAACTACTGAGTAAAAAAATATACATTTACGACGCTTTTTACGTAAAAAAGGTCTCCTGGTAAAAATCGCTACGAGTAATGGTTTTCGAGATATTTGGAATCGAAATTATCAATACCTGTCATCACTGATATAAATTAAACATGTTGACTAAATAGTTATTAGACTGAGACCATAAATTTGAAATGTTTTTGCACCAAAAGTTCAACAAAAACTGTTTTGTCATCATTTTTTTGCAGAAAAAATATGATTAATTTAAAAAAATAAAAATTTCACAAATTTATTATTTCAGTAAAATAACTATCTACTCAACGTGTTTATTTTTCGTCAATAATGGTATGTATTTACTATTTCCATTCTAAATATCTTGAGAACGGTTGCTCGTAGCGATTTTTACAAAGATATATTTTTTACGTAAAAAATCACAGAGATGTATATTTTTTCCCTCGGTAGTTTTATATAGGTACAGTTAAAACACACTTAGGTGGCGCCCTCCACCAGTAGGAGTCATATTGACATCAAAATCAAATTTCTCATGCCAAAAAACTCTCAGACACCAATTTTCATCTAAATATTGACGTTGTTTCAGAAATTACTTGGAAAAAATCGAAATAAAAATGAAATTTCTACACTCTGTATCTCCGAAACTAAGCATTTTAGAACATACATTTATACGAATTTTTTTCCTATTTTTATCTGCAGAATATGCTGCCGAAGTTTCCGGAATACAATTCGGACCACCCTGTATATTATCTATTTTTTTGGTCTAAAAATGATTAATGTTTATTCAAAATCAAGTAAAGAGACAAACCCACACTTTTATATATTTTTTAAAAGCTTGTAAAAAGAAAAACTGATTTATGGACACTGACCAATGTCCCAAAAATTAAAATATTAAAAAAAAACTACGCCACTGGATTCCTCGTAAAAAGAACTATAAAACCCTTTTTGAAGTTGTCAAACAACTGAGTGTCTGAGTCTGAAACTCAGTCTTCCAAATGGGTACCTCAAACTAACAATCCCAAGGTAATAATATTTGGATGAAGAATAGTGTTGACCACACTATTGGAGAGTCCTACTACTATTATTATTAATATTCTCTGACATAAAACAGAAAAAAAAACTTACCTGGCATTGTTTCCTCTCTGGGTTTATTATAGCCACGATGTCTAGAACACTTGCTAAGGGCGATAATTTCCTGGGTATTCAGTCCTTGGTTTAGGTAGAACTAAAAAAATATAAGTTATTTAAGGATTCCCATTGGGTCACTGACATTAAGCGACGTTAAACGAAGTGAACGCTCGGATGGGTGATCGTGTGTAAACTCACAAGCGCTATTGCTCAAAGAAAGTGTAAAATTTATTGAGATGAATGCTCATTAATATTAGTCAGAGGTTAGATAAGAGTCGATTTGAGTCTCTTTAATTCAATATCTAATTATACAGTGTAATCCGAACTGTATTCCGGAAACTTCAGCAGCATATTGTGCAGATAAAAATAAGTAAAAAAGTTCGTATAAATGTATGTCCTAAAATGCTTAGTTTCGGAGATACAGGGTGTAGAAGTTTCAGTTTATTTCGAATTTTTCCAAATAGTTTATGATTAAACGTCAATATTTGGATGAAAATTGGTGTCTGGGAGTTTTTTGATATGAGAAATTTGATTTTGATGTCGATATTACTCCTACTTGTAGATTGCGCCACCTACATATTTTTTAACTGGTTTGAAGAGCAATAATTTTTCGTCCGTACGTATAAAACTACTGAGTACAAAAATATACATTTACGACGTTTAATAAATCTTTTGATAAAAATCCCTACGAGTAATATTCTCGAGATATTTGGAATCGAAATCATCAATATGTGTCATTATTGACATAAATTAAACATTTTGACTAAATAGTTATTAGACTGAAATCATAAATTTGAAATGTTTTTGTGCGAAAAGTTCGACAGAAACTGTTTAATCATCATTTTTTCCCAGAAAAATTTATGATTAATTTAAAAAAATAAAAATTTCCCAAATTTACTATTTCAGTCAAATAAATATACCTATCTACTCTCTCTCTCTCATGTGTTTATTTCTTGTCAATAATGACATGTACTGACTATTTCCTTTCTAAATATTTTGAGAACGGTTGCTCGTATCGATGTTTACCAAGAGACATTTTTTACGTAAAAAGTCAAGGAAATGTATATTTTTTCACTCAGTAGTTTTATACAGGTACGGACGAAAAGTTATTACTCTTCAACACAGTTAAAACACATGTAGGTGGCGCCCCTTACAAATAGGAGTCATTGGCATAAAAATCAAACTTTTCATGTCAAAAAACTCCCAGACTTCTACACCCTATATCACCGAAACTAAGCATTTTAGGACAAACATTTATACGAACTTTTCTACTTATTTTTATCATGAGAATACGTTGCCGAAGTTTCCGGAATACAGTTCGGACCATCCTGAATAATATAGTTATTCAACCAAACAAGGACAGACATATTAACTAGTTAATAAATAGTTAAATACATAGGAATACCATTAAAATGGCGTAAAGAAAGTCATACTTTTTCACAATCCTTGCAAGACCAGCCTGGTAGTTTTTTTCTAGCCTTTCCTCTCACCACTGTTTCAACGTCAAGTTGGTCCTTTGTTACACTACAAAGCAATAAAAAATAATAAATTAATGAAACACGCAACACTACAAATCAATAATATCATATAATATATAATCAAACATAATAGTCTAAGAGCTAGCAACGTTTTCGAGAAAGTATTTTAAGACGTCACGCTCTTTGATATATCTTTTACTATGCTCTCTGGAACAGCATGCGGCCCGTCTGGCTGCCGATACCCGTTGCGTTCACTACTGAGCATCGGAAGAAGATCCTATATTTTTTATTAACTTAGTCCTATAAATTCTAGTATTGAATATAAATCGAACACATGTCTCCATAGCGCAGTGCGTAGAGTTTCCGACCACGAACCGATGAGTTCGAATCTGGGTCGGGTCAAAGACTTTCTTATTTTATTTTCGTTTATATTCTGATAGTAAAGTATTAAATAATTCTGGTAATTAAAAAAAACAAATATTTAATACTTTACTATCAGAATATAAATAAAAATAAAATAAAAAAGTCTTTGCCCCGACCCGGATTCGCACTCGATTCGAATCATCGGTTCGTGGTCGGAAACTTTACGCACTGCGGTATGGAGACATGTTCGATTTATATTCAATACTAGAATTGAAAGGACTAATAAAAATATAGAATCTTCTTTCAATGCGCAGTAGGGAACGCAACGTTTACCGGCAGCCAGACGGGCCGCATGCTGTTCTATAGAGCATAGTAAATGATATATCAAATTTTTCCGACGTTGCTAGCTCTCGTACTATAATATGCGTACTTTTGAGCTTCTGCTAGAAAAGCATTTAAATTCCAATCCTGATTAACATCTTTGTCCTTCGTTCCTTTAGCATTTTCCGTAACTTTAGGTTGATCGGTGGTAGACTTGGACGCAAATTGTCTGAAATATTAAAATATTTTAAGAATCAATGTCCCAACATGTCAAAAACACGCTCCATTTGCGGGAGCCTTGCTACGAATGATACTCGGTCATATCTCAGAAAATATTTGTTGTAAAAACTTGCGGTAAACATTTTATGGTGCGTCCAGACCCGAGGAGTCGAGTGCGAGACGAGCGCGAGACATTCCAAATTTGCGGTGTTTTTCAAAGGGTGGAGGGGTCTCGCAAGAGCCTCGCGACCGTCTCGCGAGACAACCCACAGAGCCTCGTTGCTATCCGTCCCCTGTCGGTTTTTCGACGGCCGATTAAAGAAAGCTCGCGGCCAAGTCTGGACGTGTTATTAGTAGGCTCGCTCGACTGCGAGATATTAGCTCTGATATTAGTGCATATTGAAATGGAGACTTGGACGGAAAAAGGTCAGCTGAAATTCATCGATTTATATAAAACAAAACCAATATAAAGAATCCAAAAGATAAAGAATATTTAAAAAAAACAATAAACACGATGCGTGGGTAGATATTTCACAATCGATGAATAAAACCTTGGGAAGAATATAAAAGAGAATTATTAAAAAGTGTTTAAGAATTATTAAAAAAATAGAAAAACTGTAGAGAAAGTTAAGATACACATTTTACAATTATTAAAGAGTAAACAGGGTGGTTCAAAATAGTGTTACGGATATAACATGGTTTTTTAAATGTAATACCCTATTTTTTATTTTATTTTTAGATTCTGCTTAAAATTTTATAACTTTTTTTATGTATAATGCCAGGTATAATGTTATATATGTACCTAAAACGGTATACCACTAAATCTAATAGTTTTTGTAATATTTCAATTTGATTAAATAAAAAATGTTAGATTTCAGTGTCGTAAAAAATTGTCAGTCATGCTATTGTTTCTGAAATTGGAGTTCTAAAATTTGTTAAGGATAGTTTTATAGGGACGAAGAAACAGATATAGGTAAAGACATTTAGTTACATGCTACAGTGTGTTCAACATATATTTATGAATTTCGACTATTTAAAATTAAATAATCTCAAATTTTTTAAATGGAACACCATATGTATTATCATTTTTAACAGAACTTACAAATTATGCATCACTGACACTTTTTACCGTACCGAAATCTAACATTTCTTTAAACAAATTGAATTATTACAAAATCTATTATTTTAGATATATAGGTAATATGATATGCAAACAAATTACCGAATTGTACGTAGAATATAATAATAAAATAAAAAATAGGCTATTCCCATTAAAACATACCTATATCCGTAACACTTTTTGAAGTACCCTGTATACTCTACAGTAATTTTCAAATGTGCTTTTTAACCTTTCCTATAGAATGTAGAATGTTTAGAAGGGGAGTTAATCACCGCGACCTTATAGATCTATTGTGTGTTCCCCTTTCTTGAGTTATAACGAGTTATAACTCATCATACAGTCTCAAGCCTTTCCTATAACAACCTTTCCTATAACATTTCCTATAACATTTCTATTTAACATTTTGTTCTTAAAAACGAATTTTGTAAAAGACGTCGTGTCTCGAAACAAATGAAGGGTAAAAGGGGAAAAATCGACGATGAATAAAATACGACAAACCAAACATCATGTTAAAGATACAAAAATTTATTACTTATGCGTTATTATTTGCTGCAGGTTTTTCATCGGACATGTTTACACAAACCGGTCACCTTTCACTATGATCCAACTCGCTGTCTCGCGGCAGGCTTGCATCAAAAAATGGACAGAAAATGTCTTGTTCTCGTCTCGTACTCGTCTTGCTCTTGCCTCGCTCTTGTCTCGCGCTCGTCTCGCACTCGACTCCTCAGGTCTGGACGCACCATTAGAAGTTTACGGTTACTCAGAAATCAACTAAATCATTTAAAGCATTCTTTTTTGATTGGAAACAAAATAATACGAATAAATACGAGTGACACGACCCAAAAGCGTATGGCGTTTAGCGCTTCTTAAGCGATACACGCAAAAGAAGTATGATCGCAAATTAGAACAAATCTGAGTCTATATCTATTATAGGCTATTTCTTAATGGTTGATAACACAGCGAGAAGGGCTTGGGCCATAAAACATCATAAACCATAGGCACTACAACTTTTACAAATTCATCTACCGACTTTTTTATTTAATAAAATAAGCTGGTTTGCCCTTGAATGAGCCCACAGTAGATTGCAGCAAAAAAATTGTTCGACTTTTATTACGGTGGCTGATCGTTCTGTAGTTATTCAGTGGTATAATTACTTTATCCTCATCACTCTCACCTCATTAGAGATGAGCGATATCGTGATTTTTTAATCACACTGATATTTGTTACTGTGATATTTTAATATCAGTGATTTTTAAACGTGATGTGATCACAATCAACAATAACAAGTGTTGTCGCTCCGTCCCCGTTGCCTCGTTCCCAGTTAAGGCGTAATACTCACTACTCACGTGTTTGTTTTTTTTAATTTATTTATACTTTTTTTAGATTTGAGACAAACAAGTTTGAGTTTGATTCATTTATCCAGTATTCAGTCAAGTTGCATTTATTATCGGCTACATGCCGGGTTACAAGGTCCCGGGTTTGTTTTGTTTATTTAAGAATAATTGTTTTTCTAACCTCAAAAAATAAATAATTTTATTGCAGAGATCTCAAATCTCAAAGATTTAGCCGAGTATTCGTACGATCCGTACTTAAAACGTTAAAACATTAATTGTAGATAGTGATGGGCAAAACTGTTATTTTTAGATAACAGTTGAAACTGTTATAGTTATTTATAAAAAAACAGCTTAAAAATAACAGGTTTCTTTATTTTATTGCTAAATATCTGAAAGAGTATGAGGCGGTCACCGCCAGGCGTATTAACGCAGTTGCAAGTTGCAACAATGACATGCTCGGTGGTAGTATTTCCAGGGTGTCAAAACATTTCTAAATATCGATTGTTATCTAAAATACCTCTCTAAAAACGGTGGTTGTTTACAAATAAGCGCTGTTTACAAATTGCGATATAAAAAAGCCAAAATTCCGCAACTCGTCTATACCTATACATTCCGATCTATCTACGCCTTGCCCCTCGATCCGCGTAGATCCTGAATTGCGTAGCAGTGTACAGGGTGCATCTCACTTGATGGGCGAGAAGCTCTTAGTTATAATTTTACCATTTGCGGTCAAAAAATAGCAATATAAGAAAATGTGTAGTATATTCTTCATAAGTAAACCAACAACACACTAGAGTTCGAATTAATTTTACACTTAAACTAGCGTGTACCCGCGACTTCGTTTGCGTCGAATTAATAATTTGTAATGATGATGATCAAGCAAAGCAAGAATTTCTATTAACATACAAACTGGATAAAATTTTCTCACATTTGCCAAAAATAAGCTTTAAACGTCGAGCAGTTTAAGCAGAATCGTGGTTAATGAATTACTCAACTTTTTGGAACACCCTGTATGATTTTTTAAAAAATTTCAAAATATGTAAAAAACAAAATAAATTATGCGTGTCCAAACGTTTTCCCGAAAAACTAACCGTTTTTTAAATAACAAATATTGTAATATTTGAGGGGCGTTTTCACCCTCTTGGAATTTGAGATTCGAGAAACCCCTCCTTATCGAACCTCAACCCCACAGTCAATCCGTTTACTAAAAATCAGCTTTAAACGTCAAGCAGTTTAAGCAGAATCGTGATTACTCAATGGTCATATTTTATGAAACACCCTGTATATATTTTTAAAAAATCTTAAAATATGTAAAACAACGAAATAAAATATACGTTTTCGACCAACTGAATTTATAAAGGCACGCGTTCATTTCATAGTGTTTAACATTGTGAACGTCAACTGAACCTCAACTGCCGAGTTTATAAATCCAGCTTTAAGCTGTTGCAGTTGACGTTCAAAATGTTCAACACTATGCAATGAATGCGCGCCTTTATAAAAGTCAGTTGGTCGAAAAGTTGACAGTTAGTTTTACGTTCAGGGTAATTCAGAAATGAACAATATTTAAGTCGGCAGTTCGCAACGTTCGGCAGTTGGAAAGGCAGTCAATGAGTAAGCGCCTGTCGATCACGTGACGCACAGAAAAGAGATGCATTGGAAAATGACCTTTATTGTTGTTTCATTAGTTCTGTTTTTGTAATGTTTATATTTTGCGCAATGTTGGATTATTATGTTTGAACTTTGAAAAATATCAAAACTGGGGGTACCGATTGTAAACAAAAAAAATACCACGTAAAGTGAATAAATCAGTTTAAGATAAATTTTCAGTTCGTTCAGAACGAAAGAATACTACTACTTTCATTTCAGTGGCATACATGAAAGTTTCAACAACTGTCATTGTCTGGTATCCTCTTGATGGGCACGCTTTATCCTACTTGTTATAACAATGCCTTGGATATGAATCTCTCTTCTAATGAATGAAAATTATATAAAAGAACCCGCGACAAATCAGAGTTTACCGACGATACTTAAAATGCAGATAACCGAAAACAGCCGTGTTTTTATCAACACAAGCTATGTGCATTCAGCTTGGTTTTCATGCATCCGTTGTCCGACGATACGTTGATACGATATTAATTTCATTGGTTGTATTTAAAGGTTTCGATTGGTTAGAAACGGTTAACCAATCGAAGCCTTTAAATACAACCAATGAAATTAATATCGTATCAACGTATCATCGGACAACGGATGCATGAAAATCAAGCTTTAGGCGGACAAAACTTACAATGCTATTATCATAGCATACTATATCTTTCAGTATATTCAATCTAAGTAACTAAGCATATCAAAACTAGTACAACCACAGATTATACAGATTATAAACTTATCGTCAAAAGCATTGTTTTCGTGGTTCCAATTTTCGGACTAACCTAACACTAGTTAGGTTACTAGTTTGCGCACATAGCACGCCCAATTATGGCCTCTAAAATTGTGGACACCGCCTGACTGGCCCAGTTATTACGCTGGTAAAACGCGAGTTTATTTTTGCGCAAAGGAAATTTTACTCGTTTGCTCATCGTCACAAGGTGCGTATTCATTATCCGAACGAACGAACGAACGAATGAAAGTGCGGTATATTTAGACGGGGACCGAACGCATGCGGCCGTTCGTTCGTTCGTTCGCTCGACCATCCGTTTCGAGTCGGTACATCAAAGCCGTTCGCCAACAAATGCCTCCGGTCTTCTCGTGCGGTCCTATCGTGCGGTCCCCGTCCATACCACTAGCGAACATTCGTTCGTTCGTTCGTTCGTTCGTGCGGATAATGAATACGCACCTTCATAAAAAACAATTTTCGTACCACGAATTAGGGACAAGATTTTTAATCTGTATACATATAGTATACCTAATCTGTGGTACACCCTCAAAGGATGTGTTAAGAATATAAAATATGCATATTTACATTACCTAACATCAATTTCTTCACTACTTATACTGATGACATCTTCTAATTCATTATCTTCAAAACATTCCTTCACATTTGACTTGTAATTTTCTTTATTTTGTTTTTCAAAATTCCTGTAAAATTGTTTTATTGTATGTAATTTGATTATGTATGCAAAAATTGCTTTCAGATAAAAATTAAGAACAGAAATGTGTCACAGGCGTATTATAATGTAAAAATTACATGTCACAGGCGTATGGAATAATTCAGCGTTTTGTAAAAAGACTAGACATAGGTATTATAAAACTCCGGCATTTTAATCAAAAGTAGGAAATTTTACAAAGAGCCTATCTGTTTACAGTCGTTTTGTAAAACGTCTAATCAGAATTTAAGCATATTAAACAATGATATTTGCGGTACATTTTTGCAAAATGACCGCTTGTTTTCAAACATTTTTCAAAATGCCTATTGAAGGCTAGTTAAGATTGACCATAACATTTTACGCGGAATTAAGCTTCATTTTCATGCGTCCGTTATCCGTTGATACGATGGTCCGATGGCGCTCTGATTGGTCATAACGTTTTCGGGCTACTTTTCATCCATAAATTTTTTAACCCCAGCCCGTCAACGGAGAAAGATCGTACGATAGTGGACGTTGATACTTTTTTGACAAATTTAATCTAACCTAAAGTGCGGACCGTCTGGCTGCCTTGAGACTCCTGCGGTTCACTACTGCGTATCACATCTGTACAGGGTATCGCAATTTTGTGTATTTTATAGGATTTCTCGTTTATGAGTAGAGATACCATGATACAATTTTCACATTACTTCGCTACTTTTTTATGAAACTAAATATGCTACAAATAAGTTTCTCCTAGTCTCCTTAGTTCCAGAAATACAGGGCGAATTTGTGATGTGAAGTAGTGAACAGATGTTTAATACAGATATGATGCGCAGTAGTGAACGCAACGTCTACCGGCAGCCAGACGGTCCGCACTCTTTTTAGGAAGCCTAGCAAAAGATATATTAAGGAACCAGCTTTCTTAAAATTCTCTCTCGAAAACGTTGCTAGCTCTTAAACTATAAGTAAAACAGCGAAATCGTTATGGAAATGAAAATATAAAATGACACCATCACAATTTTCTAACCAATCGAAGTCTTTAAATTCAACCAATAAAATTGATATCGTATCGTCGGACAACGGATGCATGAAAATCAAGTTTTAGTATAACTAACCTAAATTTAACTACAGAACATTTCTTGAACTTCTCTTTCAAATTTAGGAAATGACACAAAATAGTGATGATTTTGTTAAAGTTGTGGTCAAGGAAGATTAATATAAAGAGCTAAATTAATTTTATTCTAAACGATAACAAAGTTCCACAAAAAAGGCCTGGACACAGAGCGAGAGTATAATAATTAAATGAGTATTAATACTAAGTATATAATATATTTTGTATTCAAACTTACGTTGCTGATAATTATAATTTATGAAATATGGTTCAAATTGTTTTTGTCTAAACAAAATAAAATATTGTTTTTCTATAGTAAAATTTGTGGTATTTTTATTAAACCACAAATTATTTAATATGCTTATATGCTCATAACTGCCTAAACTTTCATAATTTTTTAATACGCCTTAAATTAAAACAGGCAGTCTTTTTGGAAAGCTATAGAAAATAAATAGGCTGTAAAAATTCCTTCTTTTGTTCTTTATTGGCTGGCATTTTATAACGTCTCTTTCCAGAAAGCATATACCGGGTGCGTCTCAAAAGTGGCTCACCCCCATAACTTTTTTATTTTTTCAGTTCAAAAAAAAGAGATTTGGTATGTTAGTATATGACATAAATTAGGACTGATTGACGTATTCAATTGGTTTTGCTCACTTCCTGTTTCACTGGAAATTACTACAACTTTTGATTTGTAAATGGTACACTCGGTATTTTTTTACTTTATTCGATAGAAATTTACTCGTCCATGAAAATCACAATTAAACAATCAAATATTACAGAAGCCTGGAAGAAAGAAGTTTGGCCTGAAGGAGCACTGGTGTCTTTTTTTGCCAATCGAAGAAAGAGGCCGCAAGAACCGGAGGGGTAACCAATACCATAGGAAAGGAAAAGTCCTTTAATATTCTATATCAAAATGTTAGAGGGCTAAGAACCAAAACTGCAACATTGTGTGATAACATATCAATAGCCAACTGGGATGTATAGTGTGACCAACGGATCTGTAGCTACGGGGTATCGGCAGGGGAACGCAGTTGTAAACAAAACACGTCCAGTTTCATTCATAAAATAGGCATGGGCGTACGCTGTTATATGAAAATAATGTGTATCATAAATATAATATTCAGATTAATAATTTTTTTCAAAAAACTTTATGCTGTTTGAATCGTTACTGTTGAGTTAGCAGATAAACACTAAAAGCTTTTATTAAAGCTCCCTTAAATATTTTGAATCATTTTATTATTGTGTTGTTAATATAATAGAAGAAATAATTACAGCTGGGGGTTGGAACCTTTGGTGTTACACAGCAAAATAAAACACGAAATCAGTACAATACACCAAAACACTTTTAATTTTACACTGGACGCACGTTTCGCTAACCATGTCTGCCATCAGCAGATGATCAAGACTGAGTCTTGTGGTATATTTATTTATATATCTGTACTAACTATATTTTTTTCTATAATACATAATCTTAGATATAACTATTTCCAGCAAAAAAATTTTTGCAACCAAACTTTGGAAGCGCAAACAAAACATAATTTTACTCACCAGTAGATCCAATATTGCCTATTACACCAGATATGGTATCGCTCCGCCAGCACTTTTTAAAGGTTAGGTCATGTCTACCCATATGTTTCATCCAAATAGATAATACTTGGCTATATCTTCGAATTTCGCGTATATATTTATATCTCTCTCTGCAATATAATGGGCCGCTCCACTAATATTTATCTGTTATTTTGACATTTACGCCAAAAAAAATCATTTGATTTTAATACCCCCCTAAGCGTTTCCCTGCCAAAGCAAAATTCGATTCTTCCTGCAATTTTTGTAAAAATTTTATAATTGTGGGGACGAGTTTGAATTCGAGATAAAATCTATTTATCAAGTTCCTGACCACTTGGAAAAAGTCGTCGAGCTTTTCAACAGCAGTCTCGCGTGGTCGTTTTTTTCCAGGGCTGGATATCATTTTATCGGGGTTAGTTTACAGCCTTTTTTTATCTTCTGTGTGAATTGTTTTATAGGCGATACGCTAACTCCGGTATAAAGAGATATCCGCTCAAGTTTACGTTTAAGCGGCAATTTAAGCGAACTCTCTGTAGCTTCTTCGTCGCAAACCCTATTATGAACACAAGGAAATAAACCAAATGAGATTTCATCCACCTTTATTTATATTTATTTTAGTTTAGCTAAAATATTTAGGTAAAATGTGTGCTTTTCATTTTAGCCAATATTTAATTTTAATATTCTAATTATTATATTATTATTATTCTACTTACCTATATAAATTAGCTATTATTTCTCTTGTCTGGCTATTGTAGCGTCTTACCCTAAACAAATTTATTCATTTTAAAACACAAATATACGATCAAACTTGATATTAATAATTAAAAACTACGAACGAAATACATTATAACAAGATAACAAAACAATAAAACACATTTTAACTATTAAATATACGAAAAATATAGGAATAAAGTTTAGGATAACCGGTATAAAATAATGAAAGAAAGTAATAATGATCAAAAGAATGACACCGCCACTGGATATTTCAATAGTATTCAATATTTCTACTCTTTTCAGAAGTGACCGTGAAGTTGGGGATAAGGCTAGCGAATAGGAAAGGCGTAAAAGCCATGGCAACCACGTGGTAACAAATCCTGTGACGTACTCTCGCCAATCATGTTCGATGAATAGGCGGCCATGCGCGGCGATGCCGGTTTGCCAATGATATCGTTGAAATATCTTCACCTTTCGTAATAAGCAGATTATACAAAATGAAAGAAATAAGTTATTAAATAAAACATATCCAACAATATGAACTACGTTAAAATTCCTTAGTAATATACGTCAGAATATATGCTAAACACATTATATATAATAAAAATATATTAAATTTATAGTTCATGTCTGGCAATTTTGCAATTTTATAGATAAACGTGGCAATATCGATTTGTCCTGATCGATTGAAACAGGGTTGTATAACTCCGATACATAAAAGTGGTAATACAGGTCTTATAAATAATTATCGCCCAGTAACAGTATTCAAACGGATGCTGCGAATCTCATGGGTACAAAGGATCACCAACAATGAAGTACTCCAGCGCATGCAGAAACAAAAAGAGATACTGAACACCATCAAGGAAAGAAAAATGCAATACCTGGGTCATGTGATGAGAGGTGGTAGATACGAAATACTGCGCCTCATAATAGAGGGCAAAGTGCAAGGGAAAAGATCAGTAGGAAGACGCCAGAACTCATGGCTAAAAGATTTCAGGAGATGGTTTGAACGCTCGTCTGCGGAAATCTTCCGGGCTGCAGTTTCCAGAGCCACAATTGCCATTTGGATCGCCAACCTTCGGCAGGAGAGGGCGTGATAAGAAGAAGTAACAGTATTGTGTGCTCTGTCTAAAATTTTTGAACGTATATTATATACAAAAATTAATGCTCATGTTTCACCGGTCATAATACCTCAACAACATGGTTTTAGGCAGAAACTATCGACCTGCACCAATCTCTCGGTGTTTTCAGAATATGTAAGCAACAGCTTGGGAAGTGGTCACCAAGTTGACGTCATATATACCGACCTGGCAAAGGCCTTTGATAGTGTGAACCATGCAGTCCTACTGAGGAAATTGAAGTGTTATTCTTTTCATGATAATCTTATAAAATACTTGAGGTCGTACCTAGCATCTAGGCAGCAGTGTGTTAAGTTTCAATCTAGCAAATTTATATGTTCACGGCAACATCGGGGGTCCCACAGGGTAGCATTCTTGGCCCTTTATTATTTAACCTATTCATAAATGATATATCGCATTATATAAAGTATTCCCAATTTCTCCTATATGCGGATGACCACAAAGTTTACAGTGTGGTGAGGGGTCAGAGTGACTGCCCACCTTTACAGGTAGATTTAAGCTCTCTCTATTATTATTGTCAACAAAATGATCTTAAATTAAATATAGCTAAATGCAAATATGTAACATTCTGTCGTAGTGGATCACCAATTTTGTCAAAATATTCGGTTGACAATTGTGAACTGGAACTGCTGGAAGAAATAACAGACTTGGGTGTTCTTTTTACAAAGAAATTTACCTTCAATAAACACATAGAGAAATTGTATTCTGAGGGAATGAGAAAGCTGGGGTTTGTCTTGCGCTGCAGCAGTGAGTTCAGCGATATTAACACCAGAATATTGCTATTTAACTCATTTGTTAGGTCTAAACTAGAATATGCCTCTATTATTTCGAATCCAACCACTTTTACCTACTCAAGTATGATAGAGAAGGTTCAGAAAAAATTCCTGAGAAGCCTATTTCTGCAAAAATACGGGTTCTACCCCGGCTTTCGCAATCTTGTATCATACGAATCTCAACTAGCAGAATTTAGCATAACACCCTTAAAGGAAAGGAGGCAGTTCAGTGATGTGTCGTTTGTATTTAGTATTATTCACCAATGTGTTCCTGTGCCGGATCTACTTGGAATGATTTATTATGTAGTACCTGATTGTAGACTAAGAAAAAGGCATGTAATTTTTAAGATCTCGTTGGTTAGTTCACCATTAAACAGGCGGTGAATAAGTTTGCCCTAGATCACTCTGATTTTGACTTTATCTGTGATAAGAATAAAAAGATAATCTTCAACTATTTTATTAAGTCTCGTTGTTAATGTTATTGAGAGTTCTTCTTTTTTATTGTATATTTATTTTTGTATTTTTTTAATTTGTATTTACTGTACTGTTGTCATGGGAATATTTTTCTGTTATAAGTGCAGTCTAAAAAATGATTTTGATTTTGATTGATTTTGAAAATAACATTCTGAATAGAATGACATATCATATGTCAACTTTTGACATTTTCGCATATGGTTTATTTGAAATTATAACTTGCAGTTCCTAACAAAAATTTGACTCGAAATACCAAGTGTGTGGTATCAAATTATTCGTAAAAAAATCTGGTTCCAAATATGCTAATGAGCCACCCTCGTTCCATTTGAAAAAATTGAGATATAATAAAATAAAAAATACAATTTGAGCATTTTCTAACTGGCCAGGACAAGACACTAAAAAGATTAGACAATCAAATCTATTTTTCCAAGGCTACTTGATTAAGAATTAGTGTTTTTAACATAGCCTTGACACTCTAGATTGAAATTTAAAATTCAATTTTGTTTTAAACAAAAATGTCAAAAGTTGACACATGATATGTCATTCTATTCAGAATGTCATTTTCTATCAAATAAATAAAAAAATACCGAGGGTGCCATTTAAAAATCAAAAGTTGTAGTCATTTCCAGTGAAACAGGAAGTAACCAAAAACAATTGAATTCGTCAATCAATCCTAATTTATGTCATATACTAACATACCAAATCTCGTATATCTTATATGAAGAGTATATATTATCTGAAAAAATAAAAAAGTTATAGGGGTGAGCCACTTGTGAGACGCACGGTATGTATATAGAAAATAATCTAACCAGATATTTACTTGGAACTATGTTTCTTAACAAATTGTGTTAAAGTTGAACTATTTCCTGTTTTCATTTTCTTTCTGGAATGGTTAGTAAACTTTTCTTTTTTCTTAGAAAATAGAATCTTTGGTTCTGTTGGTGTACATTGAACAACTGAAGTATCATCTAAATCCTCATTAATAGATTTTCTAGGAGTATCAACATTTTTCTGTATCACTTTACTAAAAGTAAAAATTATCTCCTTAATTTTAAAAGTAGGGTCTGGTCCACTTTAGGTATATCGCCAATCTTGAAGTTATTGATGTAAATTTGATATTAATATGTTCTACAATTAATATTTTAACGTTTTAAGTACGGATCGTCGGCTAAATGTTTGAGATCACTTCACTATTGATACTTAAAATTATTATTTTTAGGTTAAATTTACGATAAGTTTTCAATGTGTGCGATAATTATGACAGATGAGAGAGAATGTGTTTTACTGATTGTATTATTTTCGTTTAACTTTTAAAGCAACGTTGCCAATGCTAAATCGGATATTGTTTTATTTATACTTTCCTATTAATTTTGAAAAATAGCGGTAGCGATATTAAGCTGATAAGAATAGATATTATACTTTGATCTGTGTTAAAGGTTGAGAAGAGGATCACAATGGTAAAAACGTCCGCCGCAACTGAGTTTTGATTGCATTGGTTTTAACTTTTTTGCGGACGGTGGATCGAACCTCGGTAGACATAAAACTTTTTTATTTTTTTACAGCTGTTTTTATTTTTTAAAACTGTTTTTATTTTTTTTAATTTATTTAGAGTCGTTGGTAACGGCGATCAAAATACGCCGTAGGTTAGTCTTTGGTGTGAGTTTTTTTGTATTTATAGATTGCACGCAAAAACCTGATCGATTTTGTATAACTCATGCGCATGCGCGGAAGCAAAGGAGCAAAAGTGGAGTGCGGCTCCCTAGCTTCTAGTAAACCAATGCTATTAAAACTCCTTCGTGCAATTTTGTGGTTACATATTTAGCTATTGTCAGCTTTCGTAATAGGTCATTTATTTAAAATCCGTAATTACCCGAAAAAATACAAGATATGGCAACGTTGCAAATTTCAAATTGTTAGATTAGGGTCTAGAATATATTTGTCTCTCTCATTGCATAGAAGAGAGAAAGAAGGATATATGAAATGTCAAACTTCCATCTTCCATCTGGTCTCAATTTTCTTTGTTAAGAAAAGTGTTTTTCAGTAAAATTTTGGACATTTTTCTATCCTCAATCAAGTGTAGCTTTTAGATAAACTATAATATAATGAAAATATAGTGAAATTATTACTTTAGAAGGCCAAAATAAATAAAAATTCAGTGTTGAAATACCCCACCCAGCACCCCTTTTCACTCCCCAATCCCGTAAAATTCTGGGGTTGTTTATGGACGATCCGCACTTTTTTCGTTAGAAAATGTCATTATAAGTGTTCCTCTTCTCAATTCTGTATAGAAAATTTTAAAATTTTGATGTACCTAAAGTGGACAAGACCCTAAAAGTACATACATCTAAAATAAATATGTACTTACCTCGGTTTCATTCTTGACCTGAGATTTAAAAAATCCATAGAAGACATGTCATCCATAATGGTACTTTCAAATTTCTTGCTATCATAATTTTCATACTGAATTGCCCTTATAACACTAGGAGATGGTGTACGACTAGAATGTAGCCTCGATTGGTGTTTTTTTGAAAAGCTAAACTTCTTTTTCTTCTTTAGTTCTGGACTGGTGTCTAAATTTCCACATAAAATCCCAGTATTTGCTATATCCTCTTCAACTAAAGATGAAATACTAGAACTACCCAAAGAATAATCCAATCTTGCATGCAAAATATTTGAGGCATCAACTACACTTGTCTTTTCTTCATCTGATATATCTTTTAAACAAATATTCTCTAAAAATAAATAAATCAGCTGCAATGTAGAATTAATTAGACATTTTTTACCTTTATCTTCATTTTTGTGATTTACTTCTCTGGTGTTATTCCTAAAATAAATTCTATGTGAAAAACATTTAATTAAATATTAGAATGTAATTAAATAGCATAGTGCCTTTCATTGCATAAAAAACTACTTGAAATTTAACAAGCTTACACTTTCGATTTAGAAGTGGCTTCATAGTTGTTTTTTAACTGAATTAACTTGCCAGATATGTCATCTTCGATTCCTAAATGTAGCAAAAATAATAAACATTTTTTAGAAAATATGTTATCAGGTATTACTTTTCATTTCTTTTTTAAGTGTAAATAATAGCATAGAAAGTGCTTTGAAATCTTGGTTTATCTCATGTTCCCATATATTATACAAATGATCATCAAATAAATTAATCCATTTATTGTATGCTTCTGAGCTCTCCATTTTAGCGTCTCTTTGTCTGAGCATAAAAATTCTTCAATAAGTATTTAGTTTGCATCTCTGGTTTGCATCTAAAAAACAGATATTAATATAAAACTGTATAAAACACAAAGATAAAACATTAATATCAATAATATAGTCAGAGATAGACAAAGTCTATACCTAACATACTTCTGCCGCCAAAATACAGTAAAAAGTAATGTGCGTAAAACCCGCAAACGCTGTTTAGTTTTTAAGACCACTTATATATAAAATATAATTCGTAATATAGTATAATTTTCAGTTTTTTATATTATAAACTTTACAGTAAATGAGTAAAAAACATAAAAGTTAGGTTATGGCCGTTATGATGGGTTAACGCACAGTAGCCAAATTGCTCTAAAAAATTGTATTATAAATAGAAGCAAAATTAAGATAATATTATTTATTTTATATAAATAAGATAAAAGTAAGAATATATACAAGGACAGAAAATAAAAAGCTTGTATATTTGCATAGTCTAGGATTAATGAAATATGTCTATTTCATTAATCCCTAATCAGAGGCATAAATAATAAAAATAATTAATTGCCTACATAAAAGTATAATTACATAAAAAAGGAAGTCTGACAATGCTGCTTTGAAAATGTTTCAAATAAAATGGATATAAGCTATAGGCAACTACATATACAAGTAGAAAATATAATTTAAAAATTATCAGGAAAAAAACAATATTCAAGTTATCGCTGCTAATATATGTTTCTTTCATTATCTGAAGAATATTTGGTAATGTAACAATAATTGTGTAAAACAATATCATAACAAAGATTTAAACAAATAGATTTAAAATATTTAATAATATTCAGTTTCTTCATGTTATTATTAGATGTCGCTATTCCAAGTTTTTTTTATTATTTTTTAATTTTTAAAATATAAAACATGCATTCTGTGGCCTCTTTGATTTTGATTGTCGTTTGCGCAAGCTCTGTCAGAAAATGAATGGGAGTTTATTTTGGTTAAGGAATAGCAGCATTCGAAGATATGTTTTTGGATTGTCGGTTTACAGTCGCAGTCGGTTCGAATAACTTTGTTTCTGATACGCTTGCGGTGCTATCGGAAGAACGGGACCTGTTGCTTCGAGTGAAAAATCTTTTTAGTTTTTCGTTATGTGGTGTTTTTTGCATAGTGATTTGAAGTGTTAAAAGCACATCACAAATTGCGTTCAAGATGGGATTACCTTTTACAAAAGATGCTAGTGAGGATGTGGAAGAACAACAACCACGACAGGATAGTGGGTCTAAGCTTCATGGAAGACAAGCAAGTATTAGGCAGAGTACCATCAGAGCTAAGGCAAAACAAACTATGCCTGATCCGGGAGAACTGGAAAGAAGGTTTACAAAAGTTTTGGTAAGTTTTGATTGATACACTTATGACGACTACCTATTCTATTCTATTTTTACTAAAATACATGAGTATATTCAGATGTTTCTTAACACCTTAACTTACAAAACTTATGTACTTACCTATTTAATAAGTATTGTAGGTAGATTATAGGTACCGAGATACTAAATTAACCTTCCTGTTGTGCTACTGTATAAATACAACTATTTGATAGTAGATTTCATGGTAATTTCATTGAAAACAGTGCATTTTTGTTTTTTTATTTCTTGCTTTAACCTAAAAATGTCTGCATGAATAAATAAACAATTGAATGGACATTTACTTCCCATTTGTTTTAATTAATTCTAGTTAACTAGCCCCTGAATTGTTTACATTGTGCAATAATAGATATATTAATATTTGCTGTTTATTATGAGGAGGTATACTATAGTTTTATGATTTATTGTTTTGTAAAGTGCCAGTGGGTAATTATGACTCACTCCTAATAATCTCAAATTAAACTTTACTGGTCAAGGCTACTGGCAAAGTGCTAGATACAGTCCATGGCTGGGAAACTTAAATGGAAATGACGGTTCATTAAAAATAGTTTTTCCCATAAAATAATTAACTAGAAAGAAGTGTCAACTCTGTGTTAAATCGTGGAAACACGATACGCCACCGAAAGCCTTCGTTGTCGTCTGGAGAACTAATTTTCCAATTGACAGGTTGACATGATAAGGACATGATGGCTTAATTTTCATTTCCGTTTCCGGTTATTCAATGGCGGGTCCTCTTTCAGTTCAAATGTATTTTGTATTTTTTCTTTTCATAAATAAAACCAAAAAATAATTTATTCACATATATTTATTTGAAGTATGGAACAACGTGACTAAATAAACATAAAAATATAGAGGATTGTATTGTTTCAATACCAATTAGTTAATTATATGTACTTTTAACGTAAATTAGTTAAGGTATAAGCATGACTTACAGTAATTTGTAAATAAACACACGTATTCGCAGACTTCAAGGACAGAAAACGGACACAGGGACATGAAAACGGGAGCCTTATACAAAAACCTGAAAACAGAAAAACAAATTTTTTTATACTAAAATTAACAATCTAAAAATATCAATAGGTATAAAATATAAATATACTGTTTAAAAAAGCGTCCATTATTCCCAAAGAGACCTGGCTTATAAATCAAAAAGAAGCAAAAAGAGACTTTTAGTCGGATAACATAATCAGATTATCAGTCCGATTTATTGCATTATTGACAATAAATCGCACATATTGGAGATAAATGATGTTGGCTATAGTTAAAAATGATCTTACCTTGCTGTAAATTGTTTCCATTTTCAAAAAAATCGCCGATCAAAGAGATTATAACACCATTTTCTTGCATCTAAAAAATGTAAAAACAGTGTTTATTTACTACCTATTTTTCATATACATGGGACATACCTACTACGGCAGAAACGTCATTTTCTCCAGGATTCTTCATGTAATATATATTTTATATACTTTATTACCTTTATAATTATAAATTTCAGCCGAAATATTAAATTGAACTTCCAAAACGAAACTAAACGGAATGAATTAAAATGGCGTCGAATATTTTCGACACAATTTTCGAATTTGTTCTAGAACAAATCTGAAGTTGTCTCTGAAACTGAAATCTGTCAATTCTAAACTGTGAAGTTAGACAATAGTTAGACAAAACAATGCTGTCCTTGTCTAGATACGGCCAGTCTTGTCGAGAGGGAGACTTGACAGTGACACTAGTTTTTGTTTCTGTATTTTTTCCTCATTTTTTTGATGTCGTCTGGTCGAAATGTTTCCTACTCGCTAGACCAATGACTAAAGAATATAAGGACATGTAACGCCCCTATACGGGCTGCAGCAGAATTTGTGACCTTTTTTTTGTTTTGGTGGCAAACAATGAGTCATCATTTGGTCACCAGCGACAATTTTAGCGATTTTTAATAGTTTGTGTGTAGTAAACTTTGTATAAACTTTATTATAATGGTGATTAGTTGTTCAGCTTTCAAGTGTAAAAGCAGCAGCGATAAGAAAGAGCCAGGAGTTACGTTTCTTAGGTAAATAAACAGTCCACTCCAACCTTTTAGCGTTTTCTTATTGAATTCGATAATTATTCTTCAATTTCAATTAATATCTATATGTACTTGATATGTGCTATACGTCGATACTAGTTTTGTACCTTTTGTTAACATTTTAATACGTTTTTTTCGTAATTAATTAGGATGATACACCATAGGCGTAGTCAAAACAATTATCAAAAAATATAAATATTGCTTCAAACAGCTAGGTTAAGAAAAATATGTGCCACGGCACTGTTTGATGGCATCGTCAAAATTTGCTCTCGGGTGTTATTTGTCCTTGGATTCTTTAGTCATTGCGCTAGACAGACTTCACACTTCACTCAGTATCTATCAATTTTTTTTCATCTATGCTATCAATCCCTTTGATCAATCCACTGTATGCAGTATACTCCTACCAAAGATTCTCCTACTGTCTGATCAAAAAGTTTATTATTAGATTATAATCAACCAGATCGAATTTCACAGCTAAAAAAATAAATAATGTAATTTCCCATAAGAATTGTTTGGTTCCAGTCGATATTACGGACACTAAAAACGTTAAATTTTCCATACAGATTAGGTAGAAACATCGAATATTAGCACTTTACTACATTATATAGATGTGGATTGACCTAGTTTAAGCACAAAAATTCAAGAAAACCTCTTTGTAAGCGTAAAAATTAATTAAATACATGTATTTACATTATTCCGAGGAGCTAGCAACCATTGACTTTTTGATTGACAGTTGATCGACGGCCTTCGCATGCTATTTGCGACGTTGTCAATATAATTATTTTATATAATTTTCTACTGAAGTGAGGTTATGTTAGATATTCTTTTAGGGATTCTGTGGTTTTGAATTTTTGGTTAGCTTTTCGTTGTGGAGGGTGTTAACCGTGGTGTTAAGCTGGGGTTTTTATATTTTAATAATTAACAGTGATTTTGCAAAAATATTATTAGATTGGTTAGGATTTGGGTTGCTTCGGTTAGCGTTTCTTTGCGGAGGGTGTTAAGCTGTGGTTTTTATATTTTAATAATTAACTGTGATTTTGAAAAAATATTTTTAGATTGGTTAGCATTTGGGTTGCTTTGGTTAGCTTTTCTTTGCGGAGGGTGTTAAGCTGTGGTTTTTATATTTTAATAATTAACTGTGATTTTGCAAAAATATTATTAGATTGGTTAGTATTTGGGTTGCTTTGGTTAGCTTTTCTATGGTGAGGGGTTTTTTTTATATTTTAATACGAATCTGAGTGCTTTCAATGATTTGATTTTAAACACAGATTTTAAAATAATTCATTTGTTTTCATCGTAGAGCGGAGCGTGGAGCCGTTCCTCCGGCGACCGGCACGTGAAAAATTGGCGTAAAATAGCGGCAACGTCGCACAGGTTAATGTCATCATATGTTTGTGCCATCTGTCAAAATTCCTCCGCAGCATCAAATAGTACCATCATTTTATTTCAATATTTTAAAATCTACTGGATAATCCGCAAATTTTTTTGGCTTAAATTACCTACTAAAACACATACTTTTCAGGAAAATTTTTGTTTTTAAGTCGAACGGACCCAATTATTGTTTTTCTGTTATCATACAAAACATCCTTTGTTATAAGAGTTCTTGATTATTGATCGCATTGTATTTATGCAATTGAAAAGAGCATTGTAGTAATTTTGATTGATGACATTTTATATATAAAATAGTAAAATATATAAATATATATACCTATAGGTAGAGAATATCATCGATCCTAGAAAGGTAACGTGACGCCGTTTTCTTTAGAAGATCCTTCATCAAACAACCCAAAAAATATTTTGATAATCAAGCAATAACTAGAAACGTCACGAAAAAACAGCCAATTTTCTTTATATTCGTCTAGGTATTCATAATAGCTGTAGAATCAAATTCTAAACTACGTTTTTTATACCGCATGACCGAAAAAAACGGCCTCCAGTTGGAAATGACGATCAATGACATTCCCCATTTAATTTTGCCGCTGACGCCGTTTTTTTTTTCGATTGTATGGTCTGTTTCGGGAAACGTTTCGATCAGTTTCCACAAAATAACACGGGCTTATATTTATCGTGCTATTTCGTACTCTTTCGCGAAGCAATCAAGGTCAAACATTGTTGTGGCTTCAGAAAAATAAGTAAATATGGAGTATGAATAAATATGATTAGTTTGTAATGGAGTGTAATGTAATACCACTATACTAAAGTGATATGAAAAATCAAAAACATTGCATTTAGAAAACAGTTACCGATGGTAGATTAAATTGGCTATTTCTCTAATGTTACACAAGAATATTTAGTTTTAATCATTGTCTTAATATTAATTACAATATAGTAGAAAACGAGGTAAAAAATATATTTCAAAAAGTTAAAATCGTAAAACTGCAGGGCCACAGTGACTAACTGTTCTGGCGGTCCACCTTTTATAGGTTATGATCCACGGTGTTAAACTATTTAAAAAATCCTGTATTTCTTATTTTTGAACGGATTTATATCAAACCATGTTATAATATACAAAAGTATCTTTTACACTTTTCTCTTAAAGCAATAAGAGAACATTGCGTTTTAAAAATGTCCGTGAACCATACTTTTATTGGCATCGGGTCAGTCAGAAATTTTCCCAATCAGCTCGATATAATACTACACTTTTCTATCAATCAAATAAACAAACATAACATATTATGTAAGTATACTAGGTTATTCATTATAATAAAATTAAATAATAAAAATATTTTAATTATATTTCTGCAAATTAAATGAAAAGTTTTGTTCTTATATATCTAATCTACATACCTTTATTATTAAACGCGTGTTCAAATATTAATCTGGTGGAATATATATCAATATAAAACGAGATGTAATTAACGAAATATCATCGTAACAACAGATATTTTAGAAACGTCTAGGTTTACTTATTA